TGTAGTTCGGCTCGTGGCGATGCCTCTCGGAGAGAGGTATTTTTTAAGTTCCTGGGACATGAATGAGGCACCTCGGTCTGAATGGATGAAACCTGGCGTCCCACACAAAGTGAATAACTGATCCAAGCATCCGATAACGGTTGACGAACTCATGTTTGGGCAGGCGAAAGCAAAAGGGAAGCGTGAATATTCATCCACGACTGTTAGCATATAGGGATTATTAGTGGTCGTAGGTAGTGGACCTTTAAAGTCCACGCTGAGTCGCTCCATAGGTCGAGTAGCCTTGATGAGGACTCCTTTCTGTGGTTTGTAAAATTGGGGCTTGAGCTCAGCACAGACCCTACAAGTAGAACACACCCTCTTAACTTCTTCTGTAGAGTAAGGGAGGTTTTTCGACCTTATGAAATGTAACAATCGAGTGACACCTGGGTGGCATAGAGCAGCGTGTATCTCAGTAAGGCTAGCTGCAGGTATGGAAGCTGTGAAAGCCCGGGTAAATGAGTCGGTAGCAGCGTTATCCTTACCGGGCCGGTATTTTATGGTGTAGCTAAAAGAGGCTAGTTCTAGCCTCCAGTCCTGGATTTTATTGTTCTTTACTTTGGTGCGTCTTCGGTTGTCAAACATGAAGGCGACTGACTGCTGATCGGTTTTGAGTGTAAAATGTCTACCTGCAAGAAAATGTTGCCACTTCCTGACAGCTTCAATTATGGCCATTGCTTCCTTCTCTACCGCAGTGGAGCTCACTCCCTTGGAGGGTCTTGGACATAAACGCTACAGGTCTGCCTCCTTGATTTAGTGTAGCAGACAGGGCAGTTTCTAAAGCATCAATCTCTGCAACGAAGGGGAGGCTCTCGTCAATAGAGTGTAATGACGCTTTCCGCAGCTTGTCCTTGAGCATTGTGAATGCATTCAGGGCATCGCCATAAAGTGGAAATGAGGTTGCTTGTAGTAGCGGTTGTACTTTGTCAGAATAGTTTGGTATCCATTTTGCGTAGTATGCAAACATGCCGATAACTCTTTTCAAGGATTTGGAATTTTCGGGAGGAAGGAAGCTTTTAAGTGGACGAAGCTTTTCTTGGTCTGGGGCGATGACACCATTTCCTATACAGTAACCAAGTAGATTGATGGAAGACTTGGACTCTACTGTCTTGTTTTCATTCAAAGTGAGGTTTCGGCGCTTTACAGCCTCTCTGAATTTCCTCCCATTTTCGTCGTGCCCGTGCTGATCGTAGCCTGCAACAGTTATAATATCGAGGTAAGGAAATGTATCTTTCAGGCCCTCCTCTGCTACGAACTTGTCCATCGCTCTTTGGAAAACTGCGACGCCGTTGGTTACTCCAAAGGGGATGCGACAGAACTGATAAAGCTTACCATTGGCCTCGAAACTGGTAAATTTTCGGTCGACTTTCTTGATCAGTACCTGGTGATAGGCACTCCTTAAGTCGAACGTTGAGAAGCCTCTATATGAAGCTAGATTGTTGACCATGTTGTCGATACGGGGTAGCGGGTATGCAGCAAGTTCCGTGTAGAGGTTGACGGTTTGAGAATAATCAATACAAAGCCGCTTCTTGTGTCGTTGTTGTGGGTCCTTTGATACGACGACTTGAGCCCTCCAGGGCGAGGTGCTAGGTTCGTTTATGCCTTCTACGAGTGGGTGGTTAGTTTCTTGTTTTGATAAATTCCTGGTCCTCCTTGCTGAATTTCCGTGACTTGCTTGCGATAGGCTTACATTCGGGGAGGAGGTTCGAGAAGAGGGATGGTTCCTCAATTGATGCTGCTGCAAGAGCACATACAGGTATCCCGTTGTGTACTTTAACTTCGGGCTTTTCACCACCAAACTCAATGAAAACACTTTTATGTTCCCTTTGAAAGTCGTGGCCAAGGATGATATCACTACAGAGATCCTTCAGTACCTCTAGACGTACAGATGAAGAACACTGGTGGCCTATTTGGTTGTCAACAAATCAATGGCCAAAAACTTTGGCCTTAAGTGATGTGAGAGCCATAGATAAACTGTCATCTGATTTGAGTAATTTGACGTCGAGCTGGTTAGCTACCTTGTCGTTGATGTAGCTATCTGAACTCCCAGAGTCAACAATGACAGTAAGAACAGTACTGTTGACACTGACTTTGGTAGATGCTTGCATAAGGCTCTTTGGACAGGCGGCACTTATGGAGCAGAGCGAGGCAGATCTTATTGATGCTGTAGTTCTAGTCCCTTTGACAGCCTGAGACTGGCAAACTTTAGCGTAATGGCCAGTTTTACCACAATTGTTGCAGACACAACTGCGTGCAGGGCACTCCTTTCTATTGTGAATAGGGCCGCCACAGAAATGACACTTTCTTTGGGGTTTGACCGCTGCTGACACATAGTTATCACATGGTAAAGGATCCTCACCACCACTTTCAGTAGAAATAGAAGCTGCCGAGTTTTCGGCTGGAGCATAGGCTTCAGAGTTTTTCTGGGCTAAGTCTAACGCGCTGGCCTGATCAAACGCCGTCTTCAAGTCGAGTTGCCTGTTCTCCAGAAGTCGTTGGCGGATCAGTGGTGATAGAAGACCATTAATAAATAGTCACGGACTAATTCCTCCCTATATTATTCTGCAGTCACACTTCTGACGTTACAATCCTTGCTTAACTTTTTAAGTTCCTGTAAGAACTCTGTAAGCGACTCACCAGGCTTTTGGCGCCTTGTAGCAAGTAGATGATGTGCAAATATTTCATTCGGAGGCTTGATATACAGATTATTTAGTGCTTCAATAGACGAGTCGAAGTCCTGACAATCTTCGATGTAATCGTAAACGTTGTGAGAGACAATTGATGAGAGTACGGTGTTTGTTTGGGGCTTTATCGCCGCATTCTTGAATGAAGTTGTTGAACGTTCGGAGCCAATGTTTCCACTCTTTCGCGGCTGACGGCGAATTTGGGTCCAAGTCGAGACGTTGCGGTTTCAATATCGTTTCCATATTGAAGGATTTAAATAAAGTTAAATAAATTTTGTAAATTACCATTCGTTAGGTTTTATTTAACTTTAAAACACGACTTAAATGACAAAAACAATAATATGGCGGATAAACATAGGAGTGAATACCGCTGGTCATAAAGTACCGCAGATAGTGGCACAAGAAGACCAATACCAGCAAAACAATATTACAACAGATAGGGTGAAGGCAGTTATCAGTTATGTACATTGTAAGAAGCGTAGAGAAAAACAAACAATAGGAGATGTATCAATACACTGAAGGAAGACAAGGGGAATCTCTACTTGTTTATCATCATGAATGACGAAGTCTTAGCTTTAGTTAGGAAAGTGCTCATTATTAGAAATTTTCTTACAAACACAATCTATTCATACGGTTTGGGTTATTGTAAACTAACCATAGGCCAAACGCTTCCATGCAACGGAGAAGAGGAATCATGCTCTAGAATGTAGAGGAATGAGTAATGTGGTTACACGAGGTAGAAGTTCAGATTGATGTAGAGTGATGTGGATGGAATGGAGAAAAAAGTCCTTTGTGTTAAATGACAAAATAATTTCAACTAATATGAAAAGAAGTGTTTACAAGACAGTACAAATCAACATTCTTGTATGGTTTTGAGATAGGGGCAATGGGAATAGGACAGATGGCAGTGGATGAAGGTTGGAAAAGTAAAGACTCTTTAATCTGTCATTTTATTAAAAGTTTAGTGGCAAAGATTAGAGACTTTATCTAAAAGACAAAAGAGTGAAAAAATCTTTTATTGAAACAAAGCCGTTTGTTATATCTTCCACTATAAAATATAAACTTGAGCATAAGAAATAGCTACATGCTTCGAAAAAGTTTAATTCTTCTACACTAAAAATCATTTTGTAAGCATTGCGTTGTTTAAGCGAATGTGCTATATTAAATTAAAAACAGGATTTTTCTGTGTCGCTTGCCTTTAATCTTAACAGATATATGTTTGCATGATTGATTAATTTTTGACAACTTTAATGGTTGGTGCTAAAATATTACAAAAATTTAAAGTCGTTATCCAAATTATAAGTGTAATTGAGTAAATTTGAATTACCTATTCTTATGAATTTGATTAGTTTTGTTGCACTCACCTCTAAATGTAATACTTTTATGTCATTTGAAGAATGGCAGTTGCAAGAGTGGGAATATCTTGGTCGTTCAGTTCAGCATAGAAGTCTGTTGTCAGAATTGTGTTATCCCAGTCCAGACATTAAACATGTGGGCAATGTACGTGTAATTTTCTCGGAGAAGTTTGAGCTCGGCAAAGGAAGTGATGAAACCCGTGTTTATCTTGGACTGGCACAGGATGGTTACGGTAAAGCAGTGAAACGAATTCGTAAAGATAACTGCCTCCAGCCTGCACAGCATGAAAAGGAAATTTTAAATAAATTCAATGCAAAAGTTCGAAATATGTTGTGAATTATTACTTTTTGAGGAAGATACTGGAACAGAATATGATTATTTGATCTTAGACTTATGTGAGGAATCACTGGAGAAGTTTGTGAAAAATTCTACTGTACATGATCTTCAAACAGCTCTTCCCGATATTCTTAGACAAATTTTAAATGGATTAGCTGATCTTCATAGTGGCCCAGATCCTATTCTTCATCGGAAATTAAAGCCTTCCAATGTTCTCCGTGACGTAGACGGCAAATTTCTGATAGCTGGCTTTGGCATTAGTCGAATATTGAAGAATGGATCTAAAACACACAAAAGCATGTTTAACAGGGGAACTGAATTTTGGATTGCTCCTGAATCAATACATAACGAAGATTCAAATATAGCACGTATTGAAGATTTACATGAAGCACGTTACAAAAAAGAGTCTGATGTATATGTAAGTGTAAGAATGTTAACATTTAAAAAACTCATAGCGAAATTTAATTTTGTGAGAGCTTAATTTTGCTGTTAACGTTACATTATTTATTATCTTAGAATGCAGGAATGGTGGCTTATTATGTTGCAACAAAAGGGGAACATCCTTTTGGAACTAAGCCCCAGACTGATCGACATGTTGAATGGGGAACCTGTTGGCTTGGATGGAATCAAGGATGAAACATTTAAAGACCTTCTGTCGTGGATGTTAAAACTACAACCAGAAGAAAGACCATCTGCCAACGAAGCCTTGAAACATCCATTTCTTATGTCGGATGACGAGAAATTTCACTTTTTATGTAAAAATGGTGACTTACATTCGATTAAAACAAATGATCCCCAATCTAGTTTCGTCCAACAATTTAGTATTGAAACTTCAAATTGGAAAAGTCAAATGGATAACGATGTTTATGAATATTTGGTAAATGGAAGAGAGTATAAATCTTCATGGGCAGAATGTTTAAGATTCATTGGAAATATTGATCAGCATTGGAACGATCTACCACGACCTCTACCACAACCAGAACCATTTTATAAGATTGGCGATTACAAGGCGTATTTCCTCCGAACATTTCCGAATCTCCTTGTTCGGTTACATGCAGCTGTCAGGTCAAATGAAGAATGGAAAGAAAATCCAGAACTTAAAGGTAAGCATACTAGCTTGAATTTTCTCATTTTTATTACACCTAAATTATGTGATCGTTGTACAATAGCAATTTGATTACATAATATTTTTACGTGATATTGACATCATTTCTTTGCTCATCAGTCTTTATTTACTTGATATCAAAGAGAAAAAAATATTATTAGAAAAATATTCATTACTACCATAAATATATACTGTAAAAATTTTCAGAATTGTAAAAATGAGCCAATTTACGATGTGAATTCTCAAAGTTCCACAGTAAAAAGAAGGCTATATAAAATTTTCATTATGACAAATGTAGCATTAAATTGCACATTTATTAAACGATCTTCTAAATTCTAAATTTACAGAAAATTACAAGTTTTTTTGAACTCTCTTCTTGCTAAGTATACTGGAGATTACCTCTTCAGTGTAATCATTCAAAAGTCCACACAGATCATTTTCTAGTTTAGAATTAAATTTTGAATACTTTTTACTTAGAATTACATTTTGAAAGTTGCATAGAGCATAAAAGTTTCTGTATAAGTTTTTTCTACTAGAAAATTTTCCAAAATAGATAAGCAAATAACGTTACTAATCGCAAAACATAAAAACAACGACTTTATTTATTGAATTCAATAAACTACTCCCACTGATCTCAAAATAAATAAATATAATTATTTCGACTTTATTAGAAGAGCAAGTGAGTCGAAAAATCTCATTTATGATTCAAACTGTGTCTTAATTGATGATTGTCAAATGGCTTGATGACCTCCATTAAAAAGTGCACGTGAATCTGACCAAGTCACGTACGACTTGGTTAGATTATATAGACAATATTGCTTACAGAACTCAATGGCTGTATTATGTTTTCTCAGATATTGTAGCACGGACCACTGCATAGAGGACAGAAACTAGAACTATTATTGGGTTTGGGGAGGAGGTGTTTAATAACGCTGCTGATGAAATATCGTTTACAGAACTCAATGGCTGTATTATGTTTTCTCAGATATTGTAGCTCGGACCACTGCATAGAAGACAGAAACTAGAACTATTATTGGGTTTGGGGAGGAGGTGTTTAATAACGCTGCTGATGAAATATTGCTTACAGAACTCAATGGCTGTATTATGTTTTCTCAGATATTGTATCACGGACCACTGTATAGAGAACCGAAACTATAACTTTTATTGGGTTTGAGGAGGAGGGAGTGTTTAATATTGTTGCTAATGAAATATCGCTTGCGGAACTCAATGGCTATATCATGTTTTCTAAGATATTGTAGCACAGACCACTTTATAGAGGGCCGAAATTATAACTACTAGTGAGGGGGGGGAGGGGGTGTTTAATAACGCTGCTGCTTAAATATCACATACAGAACTCAATGGCTGTATCATGCTTTCTCAGATATTGTAGCACGGACCACTGTATAGAGGACCGAAACTATAACGTTTGGTGGAGGAGGGGGTGTTTAATAACGCTGCTGCTGAAATATCGCATACAGAACTCAATTGCTGTATCATGCTTTCTCAGATATTGTAGCACGGACCACTGTATAGAGGGCTGAAACTAGAGCATTTAGTGGGGTGGAGGAGGGAGTGTTTAATAACACCTCTGATGAAATATCGCTTACAGAACTCAACGGCTGTATCATGTTTTCTCAGATATTGTAGCACTGACCATTTAATAGAGGGCCGAAACTATAACTTTTAGTAGAGTGGGGGAGGGGGTGTTTAATAACACTGCTGATGAAATATCGCTTACATAACTACAGAACATAACGACTTTATCATGTTTTCTCAAGTATTGTAGCACAGACTACTGTACTAGAGGACCTAAACTAGAACATTTCATTGGTGGGAGAGGGGGGTATTCATATATTCAAATTTGGTCAATTGATATCTTGTTAAAGCCAACGTAGTCTACATTAAACATAATACAAAAATAGTTAAAGAAAAAAACCAATAGACAGGCAGATGGATAGATATAGCATTGATTTGAAAATTTTTTTGTGAAGGCATGGAAATAATTTGCTCACTTGCTCTTTTTAGTTTTATTTATAAGAGATCTCCAAAGGAGCGTTGTATTGTACGAGAAATTTTTTCAAACTAGTAAAACGTGATTGTGTTAACCAAAGACAATTGAAATGTTCTGAATCACACATAAAATACAAAAATGATGTTACAACTTTTGAAGCCGGAAGTTCGATTATTTCCTTGCATCGTTTGTGTTGCTTATCTTGTCAATTATATTATACTTTAGCACTACAAAATCATGATTTCTTTCACATGTTTCTAAAACATATAGGAATTTACGAAAAGGACTGAAATATAAAGAATTTAAATAGCTTTCTTTTTTTGTGGTGTTTAAAATTTATTGATTTTTATGACTCCTTTTCTCCTTGGGCAAAAATTTCCTCAAAATGGAAATTTTCTCGATAACGAAAACCCTGACACAATAGACACATGACAGATAAATTGTTTCTTGTAAATAAATCATCATAAGCTTAATAAAATAAATGAAAAATGCAAAAACTATCTTTAATTTGGCAAAGGTAAACAATACCAGTATTGTTGCACGAGAATAAGAAAAACAGGAAATAGGGATTGAGTTTGCAGACATAAAGATAACGAGGTTCACTTTACCAAGGTGAATAAGAGAAACTGTACGTGTCAGATAATTTAGAGTTAAAGCTTAAAATGTCTATTAAACGAAAATTTTGCAGACTGTGTTATTCTTTTATTGAACAGAAACTTAATATGACAACGGAATTTCTCAACTAGTTTATTCGTATCTCTTTTCGTTCTCAAGATATTGAAACTTTTATTATGTTCGATTCATCTAACTTGTGACGTCACATTGCATAGTGAGAACTAGAATTATTCGGTACATTTGCTAATACTTTAGTTCAACTTTGCCGAGTTTCTTTCTTTGTGAAGTGTTAATGATATAAAATACTGCCTACTATTATCAACGTAAAGTTGTCAGGAAAATGAAGTTTATTTAAAACATGGCAGCGACTCATTTTGTATGCAATATGATGTCACAAGTTAGATAAATTGGTAATAGCAGAGACTTCACTTCAGTATTTTTTTAATAAAAGAGTCATACATAAAAGGTTTCAGACAGCATTCATTTCAAAGATCTGGTCAATGTAAATATTATGTAACTAGCAAAGTTTTCGTTTCATTTGCACTTTAATGATGTTCAAACAAGGTTTGAGAGAATAATTATTGAGTTTTCGCTGTTGGGGAGAGCGAAAGGTTTAGAGTATCAAAGAGATTGGCGAGAACTATTTGCTAACATTTATCTATGTCGGAATTGATTAATTTAATTAAAAACACCAGAATTGTCAATAATGTGATGCAATAATGAAAATTCAACGTTCTTCAACCAACATGGGAAAAGAAGGATTGATTTGCTAAAAGTTCAAACCATTTCATGAAGAAAGTAGTTCTAAATATCGCCTTAATTGGAACCATTAAACACATATTATGCAGAAAGCATTTGTACCTGTACGTACTTTAAGCTACGTTTAAACACACTCAAAACCCAACATTCGCTCAGCTTTGTTGACTCAACATGTTGAGAGCTTTTACACACCCTGTTCAGTGGTTTTGAGAGGTGTTGAGCGTTTTGAAGAGAAGTTAGAACTTGTTTAAACTTTTGACACAACAGCACTCAACATTTTCTCTGTTCAGCACGCACCGATGCAAGCCTAATCATTGCTTCACTTAACAATGTTGAGGTAAGGCATGTGTACTGAGCAGCGTATGTTATTGTAAAAATGGCATTATATCTATGCATTGTGGAATATTTTATGTCATATGCTGAACATGTTGAGAGCATTTACACATATCGCTGAACATCTCTCAAGACAATGATGAGCGCATGCTAAGTGAACGTGTTAAGTGCATTTGTACGTAGCTTAAAGAAACCATACAGACAATATGTCAAATTATGTAAGATTATTTGACCTGAAACGAAGCTTTTTTTCGGGCTCTCACAAAGTAGGCATCGATTAATAAACTGCCTCCTCAACATTACCATACCAAGTTACTTATATACAAGACTTGAAAATTTCAGTCATATAAATCAGTGCGTTATATATGCGATATTTTGGATTGTTTTACTGCTATTGGGCAAAACTAAATGAAAAATAAAACTAAAAAGCTACCATCCGAAACTTTTCAATCTATTAGAGTAATTTCTTTTCTAGCGCTAGTTACAATTCATTTTTTACTCCTTGTCTAAATAGAAATACACAGCTTGTGTTGATAACACTTTTTAAAATATTGTTCGTAGAAATCACAAGTGGTGATAATACTAATGCCGAAGATGTCGTAAATTCTCCAGGTGTTGAAGATACAAAACAAGGTATGCCTTTTAATTCTATTCCATTATATATATATATATATACAATAGGATTTTGTGATAAAAGCTATCGCAAACAAAATCGCACGGATAGAGTGCTCAATGCCACGGCAGAGCGGTATAATTGAAAATAAAATAAACCACGAATTACTTCATAGGAATTTATTCCCTACAGAACTGTTTCGTATGGCAGTTGTTTAACTTGCCACACTCGTCAGAAGAATAAATATAGCACTATAGCACAACGGAACTTATACACAAAGATGAATAATTAAGTGATATAGTATTACATTAATGACGTTAGTAAGTGTTTATTACGATGGCGGCATGCGGAAATGAGTTCGTTTCGTTTATTAAGCGAGCTGAGTTCTGGGTGGAAGATGATGAAGAATTTCTCCGAGAGGCATAAATTACAGCGTTTGGTTTTGTTTGAGTAGGGTTGTGATTTCTTTACAATTTTCCAGTTGATGGTGTATGGTGTGTTAGAGTCTTTTAGTTTCCATATGTGTTTGCTGAGTTCTGTGGAGTGTTGTTTTGATTTATTTCGGAATGAGCTGGTGTGGTTCAAGTAGCGTGTTTTAAAAGTGTTCTCCGTTAGACCGATGTAGGTTTCTTTGTGTTTGGTTAGTGTGTTGGTGACTGTGGCTTGGTAGACTACACCCTGGGGTTTGGCATTCTCCTTTTAGTGGGCATTCCTCTTTCCTCCGGCAGTTGCATTTTCTGTCTGTGGTGGCGTTTTTCATCGTTTCTTCTTTGGTTAAAACGGTCTTATTGTGTGTAGAAATTATCGTATCGATGTTTGGCATGCAACTGTAACTTAGCTTAAGTGTGTTTCTGTTGAAGATTTTGCTGAGTGGATGGTTTTTTGGAAAGGACCTGTTGATTATACTAAGGAACTTGTGTCCGATGTCTGCGTGGACATTGGAGTTGTATGGTGGGTTGTACCAGGTGATGTTTCTATTTCTGTTTCTGTTTTTTGACTTTCGTGTGGTTTGTGGGTTGTATTGTAATTTGTAGTTAAAGCCGCTTTTTTTTAGTGCTTCTTGGTATGGGTGTATGCTTGAGTCGAATGATTGCTTGTTGGATGAGATTCTTGAGAGCCGCTGGTTGATGGTTTCTGGGATTCTGCGTAGGATAGATGGGGGGGTGGTTGCTGTAAATACTTATGTTATGAGGAATGTTTCCTGGTTTGTTGTATGGCTTAAAGGAGTCAGATCGTAAATCAAAGGTGATGTCAAGGAAGTTCACGGATTTCTTATTTGCTTCAATGGTTAATTTCAGGTGGTTTTCATTGAATATTCGGCACAGTTCTTTCTTGATTTTTTCTATCGTCTTAGGGGGAGCGTTGAATGCACCGAGGCCATTGTCGCGATACAAACCAATGTTATTTCTGTAGTCGGTAGGAAGTTGTGAGAGTAGAAATGAGCCTACCAACTGGCATGTTTCTGCTCCGTCAAAGCTACCCATTGTTGCGTCGAAATTTGAGCTGCTGCCTTTCTTGCGCCATGCTTCAGATCTGTTGAATAATAGGGAATTCTTAGCTTGTATGATTATGCGCTTGTCTTTGATAAGTATACTGGAGATAACCTCTTCAGTTTGAACATCATTCGAAAGTCCACAAAGATAATTTTCTAGCTTAGAATTAAATTTTTAATACTTTTTACTAAGAATTGCATTTTGAAAGTTGCAAAGAGCATAAAAGTTGCTGTATCAGTTTTTTCTACTAGAAAATTTCCCAAAATAGATAAGGAAATAACGTTACTACTCTCAAAACTAAAAAACAACGACTTTGTTCATTGATTTCAATAAATTACTCCCACTGATCTCAAAATAAATAAATATAATTATTCCGACTATATTAGAAGAGCAAATGAGTCCAAAGATTTCATTTATAATTCAAATTTTGTCTTAATTGATGATTGTTAACTTGCTTGATGACCTTCATTAAAAAGTGCACGTGAACCAGACCAAGCCACTTACGACTTAAGCCTCCCGATTGAGCAAGCATAACGCTGCTGATGAAATATCGCTTACAGAACTCAATGGCTGTATCATCATTTCTCAGATATTGTAGCACGGACCACTGTATACAGAACCGAAACTATAATTTTAGTGGGGTGGGAGAGGGGGTGTTTAATAACGATGCTGCTGAAATATCGCTTACAGAACTAAATCGCTGTATAATGTTTTCTTAGATATTGTAGCACGGACCACTGTATAGATAGCTAAAACTATGACTTTTATTGTTGTGGGGAAGGTGTATTTAAAAATGCTGATGATGAAATATCACTTACAGAACTTAATGGCTGTATCATGTTTTCTCAGATATTTATTCTAGATAAATAAGGTTTACTATATACAGAGTGTCTATTGTCTTGTGTTTTACAAAAATACTCTTTGGCAGTCGTAATTCATGAAGTTTGTTTATCTGCATTTATTTGTAAAATTACGCCTAGTGAAAGCTGGCTCAATACGTGAAAATATATACTGCCCTCTCAATATTTCCAATTGTAAGGTCATTGGAAATATTGAGAGGGCAGTATATATTACTTGAAAATGTCAGTCATAAAAAACGTAATATATGTATATTAGATTTTGGAGCTAATGGCAAAACGAAACGAAATATATAGTTTAAAATAGGTACTATCCAAAACTTTGCAATTTATTTGTGTTATTTCTTTCCGAGCGCTAGCTGTAAATTCATTTTTTTACTTGTTGTCAAAATAGAAATACACAGCTTGTGTGGATAACGCTTTTTAAAACATTGTTCACAGAACTCACAAGTGGTGATGATACTAATGCTAAAGATGTCGGAACTTCTCCTTGTGTTGAAAATACAAAACAAGGTATGCCTTTCAATTCTAATTTATTTTACATATATTGCGTAACCTAAGCATATTTGTTTTGAATTGATTTACAATTCAAGTCATTTGATTGGTATTTATGTGTTTTTATGAAGATTTATATTATTTAATAATATACATGATGTACGTATACAGTGTTGCACTTTCGGACTCCAAACGTTCGTTTATTACGTATGTTCAATACTGTATCAATGGGTTAAATTTTCCTTTTGCGAATGACAGATATTTTAAATGTACTGTGTACCAGACGGCAGTGTTCAGCGCAACTTGACAAGTCTTTGCTTATCTCAATAAATACTGCGTAGCAGCAAAGTGACGTAATTCTTATTATAAAGTGCTCAAATTGACTACACTTCATAAGTTCCATCCAAGAAAAAGGAATACGTGTTTGATTACAAATACAGTCTTCAATCAACCTTTTACATTAACAAATGTTATAAGATATATGAATTTTTTCATCACATTTCTAAGCAACACTGAATGGTAACATTTGCAGCTGGTTTAATCTGTTTTAACCATGACAGTAAAATCTTGTCACTTCAGAATTTGTACTTCAAGCACATTGTTGTAATTTACCATTCTTTAGGCTTTATTTAACTTTAAAAAACAACTTAAATGCTACAAACAACAATATGGCGGATAAACATAAGAGTGAGTACCGCTGGTCATAAAGTACCGCAGATAGTGGCACAGGGAGACCAATAACAACAAAACAATATTACAACATTCTCTCTCCCTTCAGTCATTTGAAATTAAGATGAGAAATGAGGTGATAATGACATCATGCAATCTATTTTTTTAATGTTACGTTTACTTGTATTCTGCTTGTTTAATCATAAAAACTTCTCAACAAACTATCTTTTGGATATACTGTCATACTTCATGTTTGCACCACCATGCATACATTACCTAGCTAATAACATTGAAAATCAGGCAAAGAACGGCCACCATCAAATGGACTTGCTCGATATACTTCAATAAATAAGAATTCTTGTTCATTGTAACAAAAATACCTCAAAATCATAATGAAAATGAGCAAATTTGACGATGTGAATTCTCAAAGTTCCATAATAAAAAGGCTATTTACAATTTTCATTGTGAATAATGTAGCAGTAAATTGCACATTTATTAAACGATCTTCTAAATTCTAAATTTACAGAAAATTACAAATTTTTTTGAGCTCTCTCTTTGCTCAGTATACTGAAGATTACCTCTTCAGTGTGAACATCATTCAAAAGTCCACAAAGATCATTTTCTAGCTTAGAATTAAATTTTGAATACTTTTTACTCAGAATTGCATTTTAAAAGTTACATAGAGCATAAAAGTTGCTGTATCAGTTTTTTCTACTAAAAATTTTCCCAAAATAGATAAGCAAATAACGTTACTAATCGCAAAACTTCAAAACAACGACTTTATTCATTGATTTGAAGAAATTACTCCCACTGATCTCAAAATAAATAAATATAATTATTCTGACTATATCAGTAGAGCAAATGAGTCCGAAAATCTCATTTATAATTCAAATTGTGTCTTAATTGAAGATTGTAAACTTGCTTGATGACCTCCATTAAAAGGTGCACGTGAATCAGACTAATCCACTTACGACTTAAGCCTCCCGATTAAGCAAGCATAACGCTGCTGCTGAAATATCGCATACAGAACTTAATGGCTGTATCAGGTTTTCTCAGATAATGTAGCACGGACCAATGTATAGAGGGCTAAAACTATAAGTTTTAGTATTGTGGGGAAGGTGTGTTTAAAAATGCTGCTGCTGAAATATCGCTTACAGAACTTTATTGCTGTATCAGGTTTTCTCAGATAATGTAGCACGGACCACTGTATAGAGGGCTAAAACTGTAACTTTTAGTGTTGTGGGGAAGGTGTGTTTAAAAATGCTGCTGCTGAAATATCGCTTACAGAACTTTATTGCTGTATATGGTTTTCTCAGATATTGTAGCACGGACTACTATATAGAGGGCGAAAACTATAATTTCTAGTGGGGTGGGGGAGGGGGTGTTTAATAACGCTGCTGCTGAAATATCGCATACAGAACTTAATGGCTGTATCATGTTTTCTCAGATATTGTAGCACGGACCACTGTATAGAGGGCTAAAACTATAACTTTTAGTGGGTGGGGGAGGGTGTTTAATAACGCTGCTGATAAAATATCACTTACAGAACTCAATGGCTGTATCATGTTTTCCCAGATAATGTAGCACGGACCACTGTATAGAGGGCTAAAACTATAACTTTTAGTGGGGTGGGGGAGGGGTGTTTAATAACGCTGCTGATAAAATATCGCATACAGAACTCAATGGCTGTATCATGTTTTCTCAGATATTGTAGCACGGACCACTGTATAGAGGGCTAAAACTATAACTTTTAGTGGGGTGGGGAGGTGTGTTTAATAATGCTGCTGCTGAAATATCACTTACAGAACTTAATGGCTGTATCACGTTTTCTCAGATATTCAATCTAGATAAATAAGGTTTACTATATACGGAGTGTCTATTGTCGTGTGTGATTGAGCAAGCATAACGCTGCTGATGAAATATCGCTTACAGAACTCAATGGCTGTATCATGTTTTCGCAGATATTGTAGCACGGACCACTGTATAGAGGGCTGAAACTATAACGTTTAGTGGGTTTGGGAGGGATGTTTAATAACGCTGCTGCTAAATTATCGCGTACAAGACTCAATCGCTGTATTATGTTTTCTTAGATAATGTAGCACGGACCACTGTATAGAGGGCCGAAACTAGAACTTTCAGTGGGTTGGTGGAGGGGTGTATAATAATGCTGCAGCTGAAATATCGCTTACAGAACTCAATGGCTGTATCACGTTTCGTCAAATATTTTATCTAGATAAATAAGGTTTACTATATACGGAGTGTCTATTGTCTTGTGTTTTACCAAAATACTCTTTGACAGTCGTAATTCATGAAGTTTGTTTATCTGCATTTATTTGTAAAATTACGCCTAATGAAAGCTGGCTCATTACGTGAAAATATATACTGCCCTCTCAATGTTTCCAACTGTAAGGTCATTTTATTACTTAAAATTGTCAGTCATGTAAAACGTAATATATGTATATGAAATTTTGGAGCTAATGGGCAAAACGAAACGAAATATATAGTTTTAAAAAGGTAATATCCAAAACTTTGCAATTTATTGGTGCTATTTCTTTTCGAGCGCTAGCTGTAAATTCATTTTTTTACTTGTTGTCGAAATAGAAATACACAGCTTGTTGGATAACGCTTTTTTAAAATATTGTTCCTAGAAATCACAAGTGGTGATGATGTTAATGCCGAAGATGTCGTAAATTCTCCTGGTGTTCAAAATACAAATCAAGGTATGACTTTCAATTCCGTAACCTAAACAATTCAAGTCATTTGATTGGTATTATGTGTTTTATGAAGATTTATATTATTTAATAATATTCATGATATACGTATACAGTGTTGCACTTTTGCACTCCAAACGTTCGTTTATTACGTATGTTCAATACTGTATCAATGGGTTAAATTTTCCTTTTGCGAACGACAAATATTTTAAATGTACTGTGTACCAGACCGCAGTGCTCAGCACAACTTGACAAGTCTTTGCTTATCTCAATAAATACTGCGTAGCAGCAAAGTGACGTAATTCTTATTATAAAGTGCTCAAATTGACTACACTTCATAAGTTCCATCCAAGAAAAAGGAATACGTGTTTGATTACAAATACAGTCTTCAATCAACCTTTTACATTAACAAATGTTATAAGATATATGAATTTTTTCATCACATTTCTAAGCAACACTGAATGGTAACATTTGCAGCTGGTTTAATCTGTTTTAACCATGACAGTAAAATCTTGTCACTTCAGAATTTGTACTTCAAGCACATTGTTGTAATTTACCATTCTTTAGGCTTTATTTAACTTTAAAAAACAACTTAAATGCTACAAACAACAATATGGCGGATAAACATAAGAGTGAGTACCGCTGGTCATAAAGTACCGCAGATAGTGGCACAGGGAGACCAATAACAACAAAACAATATTACAACATTCTCTCTCCCTTCAGTCATTTGAAATTAAGATGAGAAATGAGGTGATAATGACATCATGCAATCTATTTTTTAATGTTACGTTTACTTGTATTCTGCTTGTTTAATCATAAAAACTTCTCAACAAACTATCTTTTGGATATACTGTCATACTTCATGTTTGCACCACCATGCATACATTACCTAGCTAATAACATTGAAAATCAGGCAAAGAACGGCCACCATCAAATGGACTTGCTCGATATACTTCAATAAATAAGAATTCTTGTTCATTGTAACAAAATACCTCAAAATCATAATGAAAATGAGCAAATTTGACGATGTGAATTCTCAAAGTTCCATAATAAAAGGCTATTTACAATTTTCATTATGAATAATGTAGCAGTAAATTGCACATTTATTAAACGATCTTCTAAATTCTAAATTTACAGAAAATTACAAATTTTTTTGAGCTCTCTCTTTGCTCAGTATACTGAAGATTACCTCTTCAGTGTGAACATCATTCAAAAGTCCACAAAGATCATTTTCTAGCTTAGAATTAAATTTTGAATACTTTTTACTCAGAATTGCATTTTAAAAGTTACATAGAGCATAAAAGTTGCTGTATCAGTTTTTCTACTAAAAATTTCCCAAAATAGATAAGCAAATAACGTTACTAATCGCAAAACTTCAAAACAACGACTTTATTCATTGATTTGAAGAAATTACTCCCACTGATCTCAAAATAAATAAATATAATTATTCTGACTATATCAGTAGAGCAAATGAGTCCGAAAATCTCATTTATAATTCAAATTGTGTCTTAATTGAAGATTGTAAACTTGCTTGATGACCTCCATTAAAAGGTGCACGTGAATCAGACTAATCCACTTACGACTTAAGCCTCCCGATTAAGCAAGCATAACGCTGCTGCTGAAATATCGCATACAGAACTTAATGGCTGTATCAGTTTTCTCAGATATTGTAGCACGGACCAATGTATAGAGGGCTAAAACTATAAGTTTTAGTATTGTGGGAAGGTGTGTTTAAAAATGCTGCTGAAATATCGCTTACAGAACTTTATTGCTGTATCAGGTTTTCTCAGATAATGTAGCACGGACCACTGTATAGAGGGCTAAAACTGTAACTTTTAGTGTTGTGGGAAGGTGTGTTTAAAAATGCTGCTGCTGAAATATCGCTTACAGAACTTTATTGCTGTATATGGTTTTCTCAGATATTGTAGCACGGACTACTATATAGAGGGCGAAAACTATAATTTCTAGTGGGTGGGGGAAGGGGTGTTTAATAACGCTGCTGCTGAAATATCGCATACAGAACTTAATGGCTGTATCATGTTTTCTCAGATATTGTAGCACGGACCACTGTATAGAGGGCTAAAACTATAACTTTTAGTGGGGTGGGGGAGGGGTGTTTAATAACGCTGCTGATAAAATATCACTTACAGAACTCAATGGCTGTATCATGTTTTCCCAGATAATGTAGCACGGACCACTGTATAGAGGGCTAAAACTATAACTTTTAGTGGGTGGGGAGGGTGTTTAATAACGCTGCTGATAAAATATCGCATACAGAACTCAATGGCTGTATCATGTTTTCTCAGATATTGTAGCACGGACCACTGTATAGAGGGCTAAAACTATAACTTTAGTGGGTGGGGAGGGGTGTTTAATAATGCTGCTGCTGAAATATCACTTACAGAACTTAATGGCTGTATCACGTTTTCTCAGATATTCAATCTAGATAAATAAGGTTTACTATATACGGAGTGTCTATTGTCGTGTGTGATTGAGCAAGCATAACGCTGCTGATGAAATATCGCTTACAGAACTCAATGGCTGTATCATGTTTTCGCAGATATTGTAGCACGGACCACTGTATAGAGGGCTGAAACTATAACGTTTAGTGGGTTTGGGGAGGGGATGTTTAATAACGCTGCTGCTAAATTATCGCGTACAAGACTCAATCGCTGTATTATGTTTTCTTAGATAATGTAGCACGGACCACTGTATAGAGGGCCGAAACTAGAACTTTCAGTGGGTTGGTGGAGGGGGGTGTATAATAATGCTGCAGCTGAAATATCGCTTACAGAACTCAATGGCTGTATCACGTTTCGTCAAATATTTAATCTAGATAAATAAGGTTTACTATATACGGAGTGTCTATTGTCTTGTGTTTTACCAAAATACTCTTTGACAGTCGTAATTCATGAAGTTTGTTTATCTGCATTTATTTGTAAAATTACGCCTAATGAAAGCTGGCTCATTACGTGAAAATATATACTGCCCTCTCAATGTTTCCAACTGTAAGGTCATTTTATTACTTAAAATTGTCAGTCATGTAAAACGTAATATATGTATATGAAATTTTGGAGCTAATGGGCAAAACGAAACGAAATATATAGTTTTAAAAAGGTAATATCCAAAACTTTGCAATTTATTGGTGCTATTTCTTTTCGAGCGCTAGCTGTAAATTCATTTTTTTACTTGTTGTCGAAATAGAAATACACAGCTTGTTGGATAACGCTTTTTTAAAATATTGTTCCTAGAAATCACAAGTGGTGATGATGTTAATGCCGAAGATGTCGTAAATTCTCCTGGTGTTCAAAATACAAATCAAGGTATGACTTTCAATTCTAATTTTTTTATATATATTGCGTAACCTAAACATATTTGTTTTGAATTGTATCGCAATTCAAGTCATTTGATTGGTATTATGTGTTTTTATGAAGATTTATATTATTTAATAATATTCATGATATACGTATACAGTGTTGCACTTTTGCACTCCAAACGTTCGTTTATTACGTATGTTCAATACTGTATCAATGGGTTAAATTTTCCTTTTGCGAACGACAAATATTTTAAATGTACTGTGTACCAGACGGCAGTGTTCAGCGCAACTTGACAAGTCTTTGCTTATCTCAATAAATACTGCGTAGCAGCAAAGTGACGTAATTCTTATTATAAAGTGCTCAAATTGACTACACTTCATAAGTTCCATCCAAGAAAAAGGAATACGTGTTTGATTACAAATACAGTCTTCAATCAACCTTTTACATTAACAAATGTTATAAGATATATGAATTTTTTCATCACATTTCTAAGCAACACTGAATGGTAACATTTGCAGCTGGTTTAATCTGTTTTAACCATGACAGTAAAATCTTGTCACTTCAGAATTTGTACTTCAAGCACATTGTTGTAATTTACCATTCTTTAGGCTTTATTTAACTTTAAAAAACAACTTAAATGCTACAAACAACAATATGGCGGATAAACATAAGAGTGAGTACCGCTGGTCATAAAGTACCGCAGATAGTGGCACAGGGAGACCAATAACAACAAAACACTATTACAACATTCTCTCTCCCTTAAACAGAGCTGATGATAACACTTATGAGTTCGAAGTTTAGAGTCTATTCGTCTTCAAAACCATAACGGGTTGGTGGTTTTACGGCACGCACTGAGCGCCTCAGAGGGGCATGTGGCTGTTCCAATTCAGTTGAAATACTCTCCTTCTCAACTGCTTGATGCTCAGCCGGAACGTGTGCCTGGTCATTTCCCTCTGCAATAGGCGGCACGGTGGCAGGGATGGTGTGATTGTGAGCTGGGGGCCATGGTGCCAGGTCTCTCAGTGATACCGTTGATTCTCTGCCGTCCAAATATTTAATATGGGCATAAGTAGGGTTAGCTTCCTTCAACTCTACCTGATCAACAAGTGGGTCATTCTTGCTTGTTCTCACATATCGGCGGAGCAGAACCGGTGTGAGGGACTGTAACCAGGTGGGAAGTGAAGTACCATGTGTCGAACGTCGTTGGAAGCCAAAAAATGTCTCGTGTGGAGTTGAGTTGGTGGCAGTGGAGAGGAGAGACCTTGCTGAATGAAGCGCATAAGGGAGTGCCATTTCCCATTTAATGTCCGGCAGGCTTGCTGACTTGAGAGATAAGCGAATAGCTTTCCACACTATACCGTTATAGCGTTGCACTTGGCCATTGCCTTACGGGTGGTAGGGTGTAGTTCGGCTCGTGGCGATGCCTCTCTGAGAGAGGTATTCTTTAAGTTCCTGGGACATGAATGAGGCACCTCGGTCTGAATGGATGAAACCTGGCGTCCCACACAAAGTGAATAACTGATCCAAGCATCTGATAACGGTTGACGAACTCATGTTTGGGCAGGCGAAAGCAAAAGAGAAGCGTGAATATTCATCCACGACTGTTAGCATATAGGGATTATTAGTAGTCGTAGGTAGTGGACCTTTAAAGTCCACGCTGAGTCGCTTCATAGGTCGGGTAGCCTTGATGAGGACTCCTTGCTGCGGTTTTTAAAAATTGGGGCTTGAGCTCAGCACAGACTCTACAACTAGAACACACCCTCTTAACTTGTTCTGTAGAGTAAGAGAGGTTTTTCGACCTTATGAAATGTAACAATCGGGTGACACCTGGGTGGCATAGAGCAGCGTGTATCTCAGTAAGGCTAGCTGCAGGTATGGAAGCTGTGAAAGCCCGGGTAAATGAGTCGGGAGCAGCGTTATCCTTACCGGGCCGGTATTGTATGGTGTAGCTAAAAGAGGCTAGTTCTAGCCTCCAGTCCTGGATTTTATTGTTCTTTACTTTGGTGCGTCTTCGGTTGTCAAACATGAAGGCGACTGACTGCTGATCGGTTTTGAGTGTAAAATGTCTGCCTGCAAGAAAATGTTGCCACTTCCTGACAGCTTCAATTATGGCCATTACTTCCTTCTCTACCGCAGGATAGTGGAGCTAACTCCCTTGGAGGATCTTGGACATAAACGCTACAGGTCTGCCTCCTTAGTGTAGCAGACAGGGCAGTTTCTGAAGCATCAGTCTCTACAACGAAGGGGAGGCTCTCGTCAATAGAGTGTAATGACGCTTTCCGCAGCTCGTCCTTCAGCATTGTGAATGCATTCAGGACATCGCCATTAAGTGGAAATGAGGTTGCTTGTAGTAGCGGTTGTACTTTGTCAGAATAGTTTGGTATCCATTTTGCGTAGTATGCAAACATACCGATAACTCTTTTCAAGGATTTGGAATTTTCGAGAGGAGGGAAGCTTTTAAGTGGACGAAGCCTTTCCTGGTCTGGGGCGATGACACCATTCCCTATACAGTAACCAAGTAGATTGATAGAAGACTTGGACTCTACTGTCTTGTTTTCATTCAAAGTGAGGTTTCGGCGCTTTACAGCCTCTCTGAATTTCTTCGCATTTTCGTTGTGCCCGTGCTGATCGTAGCCTGCAACAGTTATATTATCGAGGTAAAGAAATGTATCTTTCAGGCCCTCCTCTTCTACGAATTTGTCCATCGCTCTTTGGAAAACTGCGACGCCGTTGGTTACTCCAAAGGGGATGCGACAGAACTGGTAAAGCTTACCATTGGCCTCGAAACTGGTAAATTTTCGGTCGGCTTTCTTGATTAGTACCTGGTGATAGGCACTCCTTAAGTCGAACGTTGAGAAGACTCTATATGAAGCTAGGTTGTTGACCATGTTGTCGATACGGGGTAGCGGGTATGCATCGAGCTCCGTGTAGAGGTTGACGGTTTGAGAATAATCAATACAAAGCCGCTTCTTGTGTCGTTGTTGTGGGTCCTTTGATACGACGACTTGAGCCCTCCAGGGCGAGGTGCTAGGTTCGATTATGCCTTCAACGAGTAGGTGGTTAATTTCTTGTTTGATAAATTCCTGGTCCTCCTTGCTAAATTTCTCCGACTTGCTTGCGATAGGCTTACATTCGGGGAGGAGGTTCGAGAAGAGGGATGGTTCCTCAATAGATGCTGCTGCAAGAGCACATTCAGGTACCCCGTTGTGTACTTTAAGTTCGGGCCTTTCACCACCGAACTCAATGCAACACTTTTATGTTCCCTTTGAAAGTCCTGGCCAAGGATGATATCACTACAGAGATCCTTTAGTACCCCTAGATGTACAGATAAATAACACTGGTGGCCTAGTTAGATGTCAACATTGCTTTAATGGCCAAGAACTTTGGCTTTAAGTGATGTGAGAGCCATAGATAAACTATCTTCTGACTTGAGTAACTTGAGGTTAAGCTGGTTAGCTACCTTGTCGTTGATGTAGCTATCTGAACTCCCAGAGTCAACAAGGGCAGTAAGAACAGTACTGTTGACACTGACTTTGGTGGATGCTTGCATAAGGCTCTTTGGACAGGCGGCACTTATAGAGCAGAGTGAGGCAGATCTTATTGAAGCTGTAGTTTTAGTCCCTTTGACAGCCTGAGACTGGCAAACTTTAGCGTAATGGCCAGTTTTACCACAATTGTTGCGGACACAACTGCGTGCAGGGCACTCCTTTCTATTGTGAATAGGGCCGCCACAGAAATAACACTTTCTTTGGGGTTTGACTGCTGCTGACACATGGTTATCACTTGGTAAAGGATCCTCACCACCACTTTCAGTAGAAATAGAAGCTGCCGAGCTTTTGGCTGGAGCATAGGCTTCAGAGTTTTTCTGGGCTAAGTCTAACGCGTTGGCCTGATCCAACGCCGTCTTCAAGTCGAGTTGCCTGTTCTCCAGAAGTCGTTGGCGGATCAGTGGTGATAGAAGACCATTAATAAATGAGTCACGGACTAATTCCTCCCTATACTGTTCTGCAGTCACACTTCTGACGTTACAATCCTTGCATAACTTTTTAAGTTCCTGTAAGAACTCTGTAAGCGACTCACTAGGCTTTTGGCGCCTTGTAGCAAGTAGATGATGTGCAAATATTTCATTCGGAGGCTTGATATACAGATTATTTAGTGCTTCAATAGACGAGTCGAAGTCCTGACAATCTTCGATGTAATCGTAAACGTTGTGAGAGACATAATTGACGAGAGTACGGTGTTTGTTTGGGGCTTTATCGCCGCATTCTTGAATGAAGTTGTTGAACGTTCGGAGCCAATGTTTCCACTCTTTCGCGGCTGACGGCGTATTTGGGTCCAAGTCGAGACGTTGCGGTTTCAATATTGTTCCATATTGAAGAATTTAAATAAAATTAAATAAATTGTTGTAATTTACCATTCTTTAGGCTTTATTTAACTTTAAAAAACAACTTAAATGCTACAAACAGCAATATGGCGGATAAACATAACAGTGAGTACCGCTGGTCATAAAGTACCGCAGATAGTGGCACAATATTACAAAACACATTATCAGTCATTTGAAATTAAGATGAGAAATGAGGTGATAATGACATCATGCAATCTATTTTTTTAATGTTACGTTTACTTGTATTCTGCTTGTTTAATCATAAAAACTTCTCAACAAACTATCTTTTGGATATACTGTCATACTTCATGTTTGCACCACCATGCATACATTACCTAGCTAATAACATTGTAAATCAGGCAAAGAACGGCCACCCTCAAATGAACTTGCATGATATACTTCAATAAATAAGAATTCTTGTTCATTGTAACAAAAATACCTCAAAATCATAATGAAAATGAGCAAATTTGATGATGTGAATTCTCAAAGTTCCATAATAAAAAGGCTATTTACAATTTTCATTATGAATAATGTCGCAGTAAATTGCACATTTATTAAACGATCTTCTAAATTCTAAATTTACAGAAAATTACAAGTTTTTTTGAGCTCTCTCTTTGCTCAGTATACTGAAGATTACCTCTTCAGTGTGAACATCATTCAAAAGTCCACAAAGATCATTTTCTGGCTTAGAATTAAATTTTGAATACTTTTTACTCAGAATTGCATTTTGAAAGTTACATAGAGCATAAAAGTTGCTGTATCAGTTTTTTCTACTAAAAAATTTCCCAAAATAGATAAGCAAATAACGTTACTAATCGCAAAACTTCAAAACAACGACTTTATTCATTGATTTGAAGAAATTACTCCCACTGATCTCAAAATAAATAAATATAATTATTCCGACTATATCAGTAGAGCAAATGAGTCCGAAAATCTCATTTATAATTCAAATTGTGTCTTAATTGACGATTGTAAACTTACTTGATGACCTCCATTAAAAGGTGCACGTGAATCAGACTAATCCACTTACGACTTAAGCCTCCCGATTAAGCAAGCATAACGCTGCTGCTGAAATATCGCTTACAGAACGCAATGGCTGTGTCATGTTTTCTCAAATATTGTAGCACGGACCATTGTATAGACGACCGAAACTATAATTTCTAGTGGGGTGGGGGAGGGGCTGTTTAATAACGCTGTTGCTGAAATATCGCATACAGAACTTAAAGGCTGTATCAGGTTTTCTCAGATAATGTAGCACGGACCAATGTATAGAGGGCTAAAACTATAAGTTTTAGTATTGTGGGGAAGGTGTGTTTAAAAATGCTGCTGCTGAAATATCGCTTACAGAACTTTATTGCTGTATCAGGTTTTCTCAGATAATGTAGCACGGACCACTGTATAGAGGGCTAAAACTGTAACTTTTAGTGTTGTGGGGAAGGTGTGTTTAAAAATGCTGCTGCTGAAATATCGCTTACAGAACTTTATTGCTGTATAGTGTTTTCTCAGATATTGTAGCACGGACTACTATATAGATGGCGAAAACTATAATTTCTAGTGGGGTGGGGGAGGGGGTGTTTAATAACGCTGCTGCTGAAATATCGCATACAGAACTTAATGGCTGTATCATGTTTTCTCAGATATTGTAGCACGGACCACTGTATAGAGGGCTAAAACTATAACTTTTAGTTGGTTGGGGGAGGGGTGTTTAATAACGCTGCTGATAAAACATCACTTACAGAACTCAATGGCTGTATCATGTTTTCCCAGATAATGTAGCACGGACCACTGTATAGAGGGCTGAAACTATAACGTTTAGTGGGTTTGGGGAGGGGATGTTTAATAACGCTGCTGCTAAATTATCGCGTACAAGACTCAATCGCTGTATTATGTTTTCTTAGATAATGTAGCACGGACCACTGTATAGAGGGCCGAAACAAGAACTTTTAGTGGAATGGTGGAAGGGATGTTTAATAACGCTGCTGCTAAAATATCGCGTACAAGACTCATTCGCTGTATCATGTTTTCTTAGATAATGTAGCACGGACCACTGTATAGAGGGCCGAAACTAGAACTTTCAGTGGGTTGGTGGAGGGGTGTATAATAATGCTGCAGCTGAAATATCGCTTACAGAACTCAATGGCTGTATCACGTTTCGTCAAATATTTAATCTAGATAAATAAGGTTTACTATATACGGAGTGTCTATTGTCTTGTGTTTTACCAAAATACTCTTTGACAGTCGTAATTCATGAAGTTTGTTTATCTGCATTTATTTGTAAAATTACGCCTAATGAAAGCTGGCTCATTACGTGAAAATATATACTGCCCTCTCAATGTTTCCAACTGTAAGGTCATTTTATTACTTAAAATTGTCAGTCGTGTAAAACAATGCGTAATATATGTATATGAGATTTTGGAGCTAATGGGCAAAACGAAACGAAGTATATAGTTTTAAAAAGGTAATATCCAAAACTTTGCAATTTATTGGTGCTATTTCTTTTCGAGCGCTAGCTGTAAATTCATTTTTTTACTTGTTGTCGAAATAGAAATACACAGCTTGTTGGATAACGCTTTTTAAAATATTGTTCCTAGAAATCACAAGTGGTGATGATGTTAATGCCGAAGATGTCGTAAATTCTCCTGGTGTTAAAATACAAACAAGGTATGCCTTTCAATTCTAATTTTTTATATATATTGCGTAACCTAAACATATTTGTTTTGAATTGTATCACAATTCAAGTCATTTGATTGGTATTATGTGTTTTATGAAGATTTATATTATTTAATAATATGCATGATATACGTATACAGTGTTGCACTTTTGCACTCCAAACGTTCGTTTATTACGTATGTTCAATACTGTATCAATGGGTTAAATTTTCCTTTGCGAACGACAAATATTTTAAATGTACTGTGTACCAGACGGCAGTGTTCAGCACAACTTGACAAGTCTTTGCTTATCTCAATAAATACTGCGTAGCAGCAAAGTGACGTAATTCTTATTATAAAGTGCTCAAATTGACTACACTTCATAAGTTCCATCCAAGAAAAAGGAATACGTGTTTGATTACAAATACAGTCTTCAATCAACCTTTTACATTAACAAATGTTATAAGATATATGAATTTTTTCATCACATTTCTAAGCAACACTGAATGGTAACATTTGCAGCTGGTTTAATCTGTTTTAACCATGACAGTAGGATCTTGTCACTTCACAATTTGTACTTTAAGCACATTATAAGTCATTTGAAACTAAGATGCGACATGAGGTGATAATGACATCATGCAATCTATTTTTTTAATGTAACGTTTATTTGTATTCTGCTTGCTTAATCTTAAAAAGTTCTCAACAAATTATCATTTGGATATACTGTCATAATTCACGTTTGCACCACCATGCATACATTACCTATTTAATAACAAAGAAAATCAGGCAAAGAACGGCCACCATCAAATAGACTTGCTCGATATACTTCAATGAATAAGAGTTCCTGTTCATTGCAATAAAAATACCTCAAAATCCTATAGAAAATGGGCAAATTTGACGATGTGAATTCTCAAAGTTGCACAATAAAAAGAAGACTATTTACAATTTTCATTATTAATAATAAAGCATTAAATTGCACATTTATTAAACGATCTTCTAAATTCTAAATTTACAGAAAATTACAAGTTTTTTTGAGCTCTCTCTTTGCTAAGTATACTGGAGATTACCTCTTCAGTGTGAACATCATTCAAAAGTCCACAAAGATCATTTTCTAGCTTAGCATTAAATTTTGAATACTTTTTACTCAGAATTGCATTTTGAAAGTTGCATTGAGCATAACAGTTGCTGTATCAGTTTTTTCTACTAAAAAATTTCCGAAAATAGATAAGCAAATAACGTTACTAATCGCAAAACTTAAAAATAAGGACTTTATTCATTGATTTCAATAAATTACACCCACTGATCTCAAAATAAATAAATAAAATTATTTCGATTACATTAGAAGAGCAAATGAGTCCAAAAATCTCATTTATAATTAAAATTGTGTCTTAATTGATGATTGTCAACTTGCTTGATGACCTCCATTAAAAAGTGCACGTGAATCAGACCAAGCCACTTACGACTTAAGCCTCTCGATTGAGCAAGCATAACGCTGCTGCTGAAATATCGCTTACAGAACTCAATGGCTGTATCATGATTTCTCAGATATTCTAGCACGGAAAACTGTATAGAGGACCGAAACTATAACTTTTAGTGGAGTGGGGGAGGTGTGTTTAAAAATGCTGATGATGAAATATCACTTACAGAACTTAATGGCTGAATCAGGTTTTCACAGATATTGTAGCACGGATCACTGTATAGGGGGCTAAAACTATAAAGTTTAGTGGGGTTGGGAGGGGTTTTTAATAATGCTGCTGCTGACATATCGCTTACAGAACTCAATGGCTGTATTACGTTTCCTCAGATATTTAATCTAGATGAATAATGTTTACTATATACAGAGTGTCTATTGTCTTGTGTTTTACCAAAATACTTTTTAACAGTCGTAATTCATGAAGTTTGTTTATCTGCATTTATTTGTAAAATTACGCCTAATGAAAGCTGGCTCATTACGTGAAAATATATACTGCCCTCTCAATATTTCCAATTGTAAGGTCATTTTATTACTTGAAAATGTCAGTCATGTAAAACGTAATATATGTATATGAGATTTTGCAGCTAATGGCAAAACGAAACGAAATATATAGCTTTAAAAAGCTACTATCCAAAACTTTGCAATTTATTTGCGTTATTTCTTTTGGAGCGGTAGCTGTATATTCATTTTTTACTTGTTGTCAAAATAGAAATACACAGCTTGTGTGGATAACGCTTTTTAAAATATTGTTCGTAGAAATCACAAGTGGTGATGATGCTAATGCTAAAGATGTCGGAAGTTCTTCTGGTGTTGAAAATACAAAACAAGGTATGCCTTTCAATTCTAATTCATTTTATATATACTGCATAACCTAAGCATATTTGTTTTGAATTCTATCACAATTCAAGTCATTTGATTGGTATTTATGTGTTTTTATTAAGATTTATATTATTTAATAATATGCATGATGTACGTATACAGTGTTGCACTTTCGGACTCCAATCGTTCGTTTATTACGTATGTTGAATACTGTATCAATGGGTTAAATTTTCGTTTTGCGAACGACAAATAATTTAAATGTACTTTGTACCAGACGGCAGTGCTCAGCACAACTTGACAAGTCTTTGTTTATCTCAATAAATACTGCGTAGCAGCAAAGTGACGTAAATCTTTTTATAAAGTGCTCAAATTGACTACACTTCTGAAATTCCATTCAAGAACAAGGATTATACGTGTTTATTACATTAATTTTTATTTTCTTTGTTAGAGTACAGGAGATTAGTCGGGGTATAACTTTTTTTCCAGATGGAAATTATGTTTTTTGCTCTTGGCTTACAGCATGCTGACACAATTAAAAAACGTCACCAAGTCCAAGTTCTAATAAAAATTTACTTCGAATACAGTCTTCAATCAACCTTTTACATTAAGAAAATGTAATAAGATATATGAGTATTTTTCATCACATGCCTAAGCAACACTGAATGGTAATATTTGCAGCGGGTTTAATCTGTTTTGACCAATTTTTCACCTTAACAAATTTTACTCGAAGCACATTATCGGTCAGTTGAAATTAAGATGAGACATGAGGTGATAATGACATCTGGCAATCTATTTTTTCAAAATAACCTTTAATAGTATTCTGCTTGTTTAATCATAAAAAATTCTCAACAAGCTATCCTCTTGATATACTGTGATACTTCGCGTTTGCACCACTTTGCATACACTACCCAGCTAATGACATTAAAAATCATGCAAAGAACGGCCACCATGAAATCGACTTTCTTAATAACCTTCATATAATATATCAATCCCAACACTGTTTCAATATTCACATGATTTGGACGAGCTTTGAACTCGCACCTTCGGGATACTAGTCCGCCGCTCTACCTGTTGAGCTACCAAGCCCACAGGGATTGGAGACGAGTCAAATCTCATAAAAATGTAAACTCTAAACAATAAACTTAAATGAATAAGAATTCCTGTTCATTGTAAGTAAAATACCTCAAAATTATATAGAAAATGAAGCAATTTGACGATGTGAATTCTCAAAGCTCTACTATAAAAAGAAGGCGATTTATAATTTTTGATATGACAAATGTAGCATTAATTTTCGCATTTACTAAACGATCTTCTAAATTCTAATTTTACAGAAAATCACAAGTTATTTTGAGGTCTCTCTTTGATAAGTATACTGGAGATAACCTTTTCAGTTTGAACATCATTCGAAAGTCCACAAAGATAATTTTCTAGCTTAGAATTAAATTTTTAATACTTTTTACTAAGAATTGCATTTTGAAAGTTGCAAAGAGCATAAAAGTTGTTGTATCAGTTTTTTCTACCAGAAAATTTCCCAAAATAGATAAGCAAATAACGTTACTAATCGCAAAATTTAAAAACAACGACTTTATTCATTGATTTGAATAAATTACTCCCAATGATTTCAAAATATATAAATATGATTATTTGGACTACATTAGAAGAGCAAGTTCATCCAAAAATCTCATTTATGATTCAAACTGTGTCTTAATTGATGATTGTTAACTGGTTTAATAATCTTCATTAAAAACTGCGCGTGAATCAGACCAAGCTACTTACGACTTAAGCCACCAGATTGAGCGAGAATAATGCTGGTGATGAAATATCGCTTACATAACTCATGGCTGTATCATATTTTCTAGCTATTGTAGTACGGACCAATTTATGGAGTACAGAAATTATAACTTTTAGTGGGATGGGGGAGGGGGTGTTTTATAACGCTAATGCTGAAATATCGCTTACAAACTCAATGGCTGTATCATATTTTCTCAGATATCTCAAAGTTTCTTTTTACTATCTATATTACATGGTTTTTATTCGTTTGACTGGAATCCACAACTTTCGCCACTTATATTTTCGTATGTCACGTGGTACAAACTATAAACATTGCATACATCGTCACAGCTCTATCATATATTCTTATATAGCGTTGACTGTTTTTGCTAGAATAATTTCAGGTATTCTTTTAGCAATTTTATGATACAAATATCTTTTTTAATTTTGTAATAAATGGCAGCGGTTCTGTTAGTTATATAGTTGCTAGCTTCTATAGTCAATCATAATCGACTTTAGAAAATGTGAATACTGAATAATGTGGATAGAAACGATCGTTAAAACGTTATGTGCTTTGTGTGTTTCTAACAACGATTCTCGCCATACAGAATTGATGAAAAATAATGAAACTGGTAACAAAGTATATTTTTTAAAGGTTCGTGCACAATAAAGTGAAATTTTGCATCATATTCAACGTTATGTCAGATTGAATGTTTAAATTAGCTACGCCGTCACATAGCTAACCCAATTCTTTTTATGTGACACCAAGATCATTAACTAGAAGCAACTTACATCATTACCTTTTGACTGTTATTTCTAGGAGATTTAAAAAGATAGTTATGTGACTAAACTGCCCTAAGAACACATCAATACTCGAAAATCAGAAGTCAAAACAGTCATTCCGTATGAAAATATATGATAGAGCTGTGAACAGTGTAGGGAATATACAGTAGGTTCATATCGTGTGCAACTTGCTGCTGTATAGTTAATTAGATTATTGGCTGCTTTTAGCCATTTTATCATTCTTATTGGTCAAAAAAAGCAATTGACTGGCTGCCACTATGGTAATCACATGCGTAATAAGATATGCGTTGAACGAAAAAAATTAATGGAGTGGCTCTACTGTATATTTACTACGCTGTGGCTGTGACTATGTACGCAATGTTTACCGTTTCTAGGTACCACGTGACATGCAAAATATTACTCGTGTTTTCTAAGCAGAACTTCCTTGTAATTTGCAGCAAGATTGTGTTAAATATTGTTGACACTGCTTCATAGAATTAAGGAATGAATATTAGTCACAGAATGCATGTATGTATGTAAATGAAAAAGACACAAGAAGCGCATATTTGAAGAATAAGAGGTAAACATAGAGTAGAGTATGGCCCTGTTTACATGAGACCGGAACGAAGTCAAACCACGGCACAATCTTGTGTCGGTCATAATATTATTTATAGTAAATGTTTACATGGGATCGATACTAAAAGAAACTCAGAGCAGTCTGATGTCCTACCGCCTGCTGAACTGATCCGACTGAGTTTATAACGGTATGAAATAAAACCGGCATCAATGTAAACGCAAATTAATGTTCAGACCGATCTGAAATGGCATAAACGCTTGCGCACAAAAGCAAATTACACAAGCAAAATGGCTAGCAAGCGTAAAATTAGCCTGCAAAGGAGGCATTACGCGAATGAGGATTTTTCGTTGTTTCGTGCCGGTCCCTTGTAAACATGCAACAAATTCTGATTTTCATTTCAGTTTGACTTCGTTCCGTTCTCGTGTACACAAGGCCTCCGTAGATAGGGTGAAGGAAATTATCAATTATGTACATAGTAAGAAGCGTAGAGAAAAAAACAAAGAATAGAAGGTGTATGAATACACTGAAGGAAGACAAGGGGAACTTCTACTTGTTTATCATCATGAATGACGAAGTCTTGCCTTGAGTTGGGAAAGTGCTCATTTTTAGAAATTTTCTTACAAACACTATCTGTTTTTATGGTTTGGGTTATTGTAAATTAACCGTGGGCCAAACGTTTCCATACAACGGAGAAGATGAATCAAACTCTAGAATGTAGAGGAGTGAGTAATGTGGTTACACGAAGTAGAAGTTCAGATTGATGTAGAGTGTATGTGGATGGGCTGGAGGAAAAGTCTTTGTGTTAAATGACAAAATAATTTCAACTAATATGAAAAGAAGGGTTTACAAGACAGTACAAATCCAACATTGTTGTATGGTTTTGAGATAGTGGCATTGGGAATAGGACAGATGGCAGAGCATGGAGGTTGGACAAGTAAATACTCTTTAATCTGTCATTTTCTTAAAAGTTTAGTAGCAAAGATTAGAGACTTTATCTAAAAGACAAAAGAGTTATATCTTCCACTATAAAATATAAACTTAAGCATAAGAAATAGCTACATGCTTCAAAAACTTTAATTTTTCTACACTAAAAATCATTTTGTAAGCATTGCGTTGTTTAATCGAAAGTGCTATATTAAATTAAAAACAGCATTTTTCTGTGTTGCTTGCCTTTAATCTTAACAGAAATATGTTTGCATGATTGATTGATTTTTGACAACTTTAATGATTGGTGCTAAGATTTTACAAAAATTTAAAGTCGTTATCCAAATTTTAGTCGTATTTGAGTAGATTTGAGCTACCTATTTTTATGAATTTGATTAGTTTTGTTGCAATCACCTCTGAATGTAATACTTTTATGTTTTTTAAAGAATGGCAGCTGCAAGAGTGGGAATATCTTGGTCCTTCAGTTCAGCATGGAAGTCTGTTGTCAAAATTGTGTTATCCCAGAGCAGACATTAAACATGTGGGCAATATACGTGTAATTTTTTCAGACGAGTTTTGCATTGGCAAAGGAAGTGATGTAACCCGTGTTTTTCTTGGACTGGGTAAGGATGGTTACGGTAAAGCAGTAAAACGAATACATCGAGATAGCTACATCCAGCTTGCACTGCACGAAAAGAAAATTTTAAATGAATTCAATGCAAGAAAGTCGAAATACGTTGTGAATTATTACTTCTTTGAGGAAGATACCGGATCAGAATATGTTTATTTGATCTTAGACTTATGTGAAGAATCACTGGACAAGTTTGTGAAGAATTCTACTGTACATGTTCTTCAAAAAACTCTTCCCCAAATTCTTAGACAAATTTTGAATGGATTAGCTGATCTTCATAGTGGCCCAGATCCTATTCTACATCGGGATTTGAAGCCTTCCAATGTTCTGCGAGACTCAAAAAGCAAATTTCTGATAGCTGACTTTGGAATAAGTCGAATAATGAAGAATGACGCGACAACATATAAAAGCAATTCTTCCATGGGAACTTTGCATTGGACAGCTCCTGAATCCTATTGCGAAGATGATGATTCAGTAAATAAAGCGCGTTACAAAAGAGAGTCTGATGTATATGTAAGTGTAGGAATGTAAACATTTGTAAGTTGTAGAGAAACTCAATGTTGTGAAATTGCATTTTGATTTGCAATTGCAAATGAAGCACGTAATAAAGATTTAAATGAAGCACGTTATAAAAAAGAGTCTGATGTATATGTAAGTGTAAGAATGTTAACATTTACAAAACTCACAGCGAAATTTAATTTTGTGAGAGTTTTGTTTTGCTGTTAACGTTACATTTTTCATTATCTTAGAATGCAGGAATGGTGGCATATTATGTTGCAACAAAAGGGAAACATCCTTTTGGAACTAAACGGCTTAGACTGGACAACATGTTGAATGGAAACCCTGTTGGTTTGGATGAAATCAATGATGAAACATTAAAAGATCTTCTATCGTGGATGTTAAAACTACAACCAGAAGAAAGACCATCTGCCAACGAAGCCTTGACACATCCATTTCTTATGTCAGATGACGAGAAATTTCACTTTTTATGTAAAGTTGGTGACTTACAGTCGATTAAAACAAATGATCCCCAATCTAGTATCGTCCAACAATTGAATATTGAATCTTCAAATTGGAAAAGTCAAATGGATAACGATGTTTATGAATATTTGGTAAATGGAAGAGAGTATAAATCTTCATGGACAGAATGTTTAAGACTCATTCGAAATATTGACCAGCATTGGAACGATCCACCACGACCTCTGCCACAACCAGAACCATTTTATAAGATTGGCGATTACAAGGCGTATTTTATTAAAACATTCCCCAGTCTTCTTGTTCGGTTACATGCAGCTGTCAGGTCAAATGAAGACTTGAAAAACAAACCAAAACTTAAGGGTAAGCATACTAGCTTGAATTTTCTCATTTTTATTACACTTAAATTTTGTGATCGTTGTACAATAGCAATTTGATTACACATTAATTTTACGTGATATTGACATCATTTCTTTGTTCATCAGTCTCTATTTACTTAAATTCGAAGGGAAAAATTTATTATGAGAAAAATATTCATTACTACCATAAATATTGTAAAAATTTTAAAGATTGTAAAAATGAGCCAATTTGACGATGTGAATTCTCAAGGTTCTACAGTAAAAAGAAGGCTATTTACAATTTTCATTATGACAAATGTAGCATTAAATTGCACATTTATTAAACGATCTTCTAAATTCTAAATTTACAGAAAATTACAAGTTTTTGAGCTCTTTCCTAGTTAAATATACTGAAGTTTACCGCTTCAGTTTGAACATCATTCAAAGTCCACAAAGATCATTTTCTAGTTTAGAATTGAATTTTGAATACTTCTTACTTAGAATTGCATTTTAAAGTTGCATAGAGCATAAAAGTTGCTGTATCAGTTTTTTCTACTAAAAATTTCTAAAATAAGATAAGCAAATAACGTTACTAATCGCAAAACATAAAAACAACGACTTTATTCAGTGATTTCAATTAATTCTCCCACTGATCTCAAAATAATAACTGTAATTACTTGGACTATATTAGAAGAGCAAGTGAGTCCAAAAATCTCATATATAATTCAAACTGTGTCTTAATTGATGATTGCCAACTGTCTTAATGAGCTCCATTAAAAAGTGCACGTGAATCTGACAAATCCACTTGCGACTTAAGCCACCCGATTAAGCAAGAATAAGGCTGCTGATGAAATATCGCTTACAGAACTCAATGGCTGTATCATGTTGGCTCAGATATTGTAGCACGGACCACTGTATAGAGGGCTTAAACTATAAATTTTAGTGGGGTGGGGAGGGGGTGTTTAATAACGCTTCTGATGAAATATCGCTTACAGAAATCAATGGCTGTATCATGTTTTCTTAGATATTGTACCACGGACCACTGTATAGAGAACCAAAACTATAACTTTTAGTGGGGTGGGGGAGGGTTGTTTAATAACGCTGCTGCTGAAATATTGCTTACAGAACTCAATGGTTGTATCATGTTTTCTCAGATATAGTAACAAGGACCACTGTATGGAGAACCAAAACTATAACTTTTAGTGGGGTGGGGAGGGGGTGTTTAATAACGCTGCTGCTGAAATATCGCTATAGAACTCAATGGCTGTATCATGTTTGCTTAGATACTGTAACACTGACCACTGTATAAAGGGCCAAAACTATAACTTTTAGTAAGGTGGTGGGGAGGGGGTGCTTAATAACGCTGCTGATGAAATATCACTTACAAAACTCAATGGCTGTGATATGTTTTCTCAGATATTGTAGCACGGACGGACCACTGTATAGAGGTCCACAATTCAAATAGACAAATAGATCAATAAATTGACAGGCACATGGATAGATACAAAATTGATTTGAAAATTTTTTATGTGAAAGCATGGAAATGATTTGCTCAATTGCCTTCTTAAACTCTATTTGTAAGAGAGCTCCAAAGGAGCGTTGTATTGTGAGTGAAACTTTTTCAAATTTTTAAAAGGTGATTGTGTTGGCGAAAGATAATTAAAATATTCTGCCTCGTACATAAAATGCATCGATATACAAAAAAGATGTTACAACATTTGAAGCCAGATTTTCAATCATTTGCTTGCATCGTTCGTGTTGCTTATCTTGTCAAATTATTATTCTTTAACATTACAACGTCATTTCTTTCATATGTTTCTAAAAAAGACAAGAATTTTATCAAAAGGACTAAAAAATATGATGAGGATTCAAATCGCTTACTTTTTTCGTGGGGTGAAAAATTTATTGTATTTTATGATTCCTTTTCTCCTTGGGCAAAAATTTCCTCAAAATGGAAATTTTTTCGATAACGAAAACCCTGACACAATAGACACATGACAGACAAATTGTTTCTTGCAAATAAATCATCATATGTTTAATAAAATAATTGAAAACTGCAAATAACCATTTTCAATTCGGCAAAGGGAAAACAATACTGGCAATCGTTTTAAAAAGCGCAAATACCATGGGGAATCGTAAAAGTAATTCACAATGGTATTTGCGATCTTCAAAACGATTTTCAGATTTGTCACCACGACAAAGTGTCTATTTTAATACTAACAATGAGGTAGAGTTTGAATTTGCAGAAATGTTGATAACGAGGTTCACTTTGCCAATGAATAAGAGAAACAGTACGTGTCAGATAATTTAGAGTTAAAGCATAAAATGCCTATAAAACGAAAATGTAGCAACCTGTGTTATACTTTTATTGAACAGACATTTTAATATGATAATGGACTTTCTGTACTAGTTTATGCATATCACTTTTCATTCTCGAGATAATGAAGTTTTTATTATGTCCGATTTATCTGGTGTCACATTGAATAATGAGAACAAGATGTATTACATAAATTTGCTGATACATTATTTTAACATGGCGGAGCTTCCTTCTTTGTGATGTGTTAATGATATAAAATACTGCGTACCATTATCAACCTAAAGTTGTTAGGAAAATAAAGGGTATTTGAAACATTGCAGCGACTCATTTTGAATGCAATATGATGTCACAAGTTAGATAGTTTTTGTGATTAATTGTTTGGTACAAGCTAACCTCGAATGTTACCAGTTAAAAAATTTATGATATGTCTAATAATTGTTAATACGTTTTTTCAAAAGTGTACAGTATCAGTATCCTTTCCTATTTGGGGAAGTTTAAGCTATTTTGATATATTTATTTTGTTTCTTTACTCTTGAATATAATATTTTTATCTAGAACAGTGGAAATACATTGATGAATCAACGAAACATAGAGAATTGCTTTTAAAGTTGATTGAATATGGACGCAATCCCAGTTGAGGTTAAAGTGGTGGGCAATGTGCGTGTAATATTCTCAGAAGAATTTTGCATTGGCGAAGGAAGTGATGCAACCCGTGTTTATCTTGGACTGGGTAAGGATGGTTACGGTAAAGCAGTGAAACGAATACATCGATATAAATTTGTCCAGCTTGCACATCATAAAAAGAAAATTTTAAATAAATTCAATGCAAAGAAGTCGAAATATGTGGTGAATTATTTCTACTTAGAAGAAGATACTGGAACAGAATATGTTTATTTGATATTAGACTTATGTGAAGAATCATTGGAGAGTTTTGTCAAGTCTTCTACTTTGAATGATCTTCAAAAAGCTCTTCCTGATATTCTTAGACAAATTTTAAAAGGATTAGCTGATCTCCATAGGTGCCCAAATCCTATTCTACATCGGGATTTGAGGCCTTCCAATGTTCTGCGAGACTCAAAAAGCAAATTTCTTATAGCTGACTTTGGCATAAGTCGAATATTGAAGGATGATTCTACGACATATGAAAGCAATTCTTCCATGGGAACTGTGCATTGGATAGCTCCTGAATCATATTGCGAAGATGATGATTCAGGATATAAAGCCTGTTACAATAGAAGGTCTGATGTATATGTAAGTGTAGGAATGTAAACATTTGCAAGTTGCAAAGAAACTCAATGTTGTGAAATTGCATTTTGATGTAACGCTTTTATTATTTTAGAATGCAGGGATGGTAGCTTATTATGTTGCAACAAAAGGAAAACATCCTTTGGAACTAAACTATATAGACAGATCAACATGTTAAAAGGAAACCCTGTTGGTTTGGATGAAATCGAAGATGAAACACTAAAGGACCTTCTGTCGTGGATGTTAAATCTAAAACCTGAAAACAGACCATATTCTAACGAAGCATTAAAACACCCGTTTCTCATGTCAGACGATGAGAAGTTTCAAATGTTATGTAAAGTTGGGAACCTTCAACAGATTAAGACAAATGATCCCCAGTCAAGTGTCGTTCAAAAATTGAATAGCGAATCCGTATATTGGAAAAGTCAAATGGATTGGAATGTCTATGATTATTTTTGCACGTACGAGGAAAATGGAAAAATCAGTAAGGTCCGTTATAAATCTTCATGGCCAGAATGCTTAAGATTCATTCGAAATATCGACCAGCATTGGAACGATCTACCACGACCTCTACCACAACCAGAACCATTTTATAAGATTGGCGATTACAGGGCGTATTTTCTCCGAACATTTCCTAATCTCCCTGTTCAGGTACATGCTGCTGTCAGGTCAAATAAAGAATTGAAAAACAAACCAGAACTCAAGAACTTTTTTAATTTTAATGAAAGCGAACTACATTAATAAACAATTCAGATACAACAGAACCTGTTGGGGGTAAAAATGTAGCAATTAAGAAATTATTGATACTGTAGAGATCTTATTTTATAGATATAAAGAAAAACAGTTTCCACGACGTATTTAGATGATATTTTACCACATTTCTGCTGAATCTATAGCCTGTGGTATTCATTGATACATTTTAATATACCTGATTATTTAATTGTTACTGTAAATTGTTTTGGAAAAAGACCGAATGCGAACATGACATTAAAAGTTAACTTTTATGTTTGGCTGCACTGAAAAATTTTGCTCTACATTTATCCAATATACTAAACTCGTATACGATAAAAAATTGTATTTCTGAAATTATTATAATTACTAAAAGTCTGGCCTTGGTGTTTTGGTCTCTTGGGAGCTTCTTATCTTATAAACCTGACCATCAGAAGTTGTGCTTAATTCCTTAAGTAGAATCTTTTGTGTTTTACTATCTCGCATTAATTACGTAGCTGATCAATATAAAATAGTTGAATTAAATAACATTTTCATGAGATTGAGTGAGTGACAGCATTTCATATGATAATTTGTTTATGGACACAATAATATTTTAATTAGTTTTATAGAAAAATATTCATAGTTGTTATCATTTTCTGATATTTTGCTTATTTCATGCACTGTAACCATGACAATTATTTCGTGCTTAAATCCATACAACTAAAATGCAAGTGCTATGTATTTAATATTTCTTAAATGAATATTGAATATACACCTAAATACACGTAAGGTTAACTACGGCGCTCTCTATTGCCTATATTCTAAAAACTCTCTCACACTCACATTTACTGAGTAAAGTTTCAAAATAATCTTATAACTGATGGAAGACCTTGTATTTACTCCACAGATAGAAAATAGTGCAAAGTTATGTTGATTTTATCATCTCAGATCCCATATCATCTGGTAGGTATCCACACATTAATGTCACATTAAAGCATTCAGTAATAGTTGTGTGACAGTTTTAGTTTAAAGTTTTGTAAATCATTTATATAAATTTTGAGCTTTTGGGCTTTATTTTATTGAATTAACTTCGCAAAGAGCATACTATAACAACAAAAGTACGTAAATAACTTCTAAATGACAAAGAACAATGCTACAGCTTTCTCTAGTTACTGCAGCCTTTTAAACACAACGTTGCAAAAATTAAAAACAACGCGGATTACATAATGTATAATAAGTGCGAAAAATGTTTCTAGAATTGACGAAGACTGACATTTTGGATTTATTCTAGAGGGTACTGCATCTATTTATTTAAGATTTTAGAAACGTTCTCATTTTACAATGAGTTGTAACATATGACAGCTAGATTTTCTGGATAGTACAAACGTGATTGCCTTTGGAAGCGAGGACTGGCTTGTAATAGTAACTAATCTTCATCAATCTTCACAAGACTATAAATTATTTTGTATTCGTTTACAAACCAAATAGTATGCTTTTTTTAAGGACCTATGACACGAAAATTTTATGTTTGCAATGACAGTGTACTTTTAAAACAGTTTATGCATATCACTTTTAACTCCTGAGATATTGAGGACTATGCTATGTCCGACTTATCTAACTTGTGACGTCACATTGCATAATGAGAGCTAGGAGTATTAGGTATATTTAACGATACTTTACTTCACAAGGACATAGTTTCATTTGTTGTGACGTGTTTGATGATATAAAATGCTGCCTATTAGTATCAACCTAAAGTTGTCAGGAAAATGAAAAGTATTTGAGACATTTTAGAACTCATTATGCAATATGACGTCACAAGTTGGATGAAATAGAAATAACAAAAATTCAATATCTCGCGAAGGAAAAGTGATATGCATTAACTGTTTTAGACAGTACACTGTCATCTCAAAAGTTCTGGTGATTACAAACATAAAAAATTCATGTCATAGGCACTTTAAACGTCAAAAGTAGTTTTACATTTCCAAATATAACATCGGGCTGAATTGTAAGGGATATTTTAACCACTTAGTAAATATGTATGCTTTATAACTTATGAAGCGATAGATAAAACTGATAAAACACCTGCTGAAATTCACTATCCACCAGCTAGAGGACACCTTTCACTTGAGGGAAACGAATGTAAATTATAATCCCATTTACCCTCAAAATTGGGTGGAAGTATCAATAACCATTATGATAATTTTTAGAAAGCCAAAATTAAATTTAATCAAATTGAAGCATTCGTATGTACTATTTTTGAAGCATTCGTATGTACTATTATATGTAATGAAAAGGGCTATTCTTTTCTACACATAAACTACGTAAAAGAAAAAATCATCTTCTTTACGTTAAAGACTTCTTCCGAGTAAATGAATTTCAAAAAAATTCGTTTTTAAACTGGACCAAACACATTTGCCAATAAAATCATAACTGAGAACATAATTATTTTAAATATATGCATAACAATAAATGCCTTCCTTATTACAAAATACAAGTTGAGATGTTTACGTCAGAAATTATTCAAAAAATTCAACTATAATATGGGCATTTCTGACACAAGAACAGTGTATTGAGAATCGAACCCAAAGACTAAATTGTACCGCTCCTAAAAGATGTGTGTGACATTTTTCATAAATTAAAGCTGTTTAGACCAAATCAAACAGATCATCAATTCTTAAAATAATTCAGAAATTTTTTCTTCCGAAGATTGTCAGACGGTCAAAAATGGTTCGTTTTAATGTTAAAGATTGGCAGAAAAAGTAAACATGGTATATTTTTCCAATGAATGATAAAGATATATGAAGAAATATTAAGCATTTATAACTTATAAAAAGTTCAATGTTGATCACAGTTTCTTACATTTTTTGCCATCTAGCACAGTTTGTCAGAAATTCTTATGCATTTTTTTAATGTTTGAAACATTTACCTTTGCTTTATTTACATTTTTTAGATGTAATAGTTTTATCAAAGAAAATTAATAAGGAGAAAATGAATATGAAATTAATACTGATTATCCTAATTGTTATGGTAAATAAACTCACGCTTCGTATTCTCCATTCACAAATGTTGCATGTGGTTAACGCAAGATTTATAAGTAACTTTATAATATAAAAAGAGGTACGCAATGCGTACACGTGGGTAGACCTAAATGGGTAAATAGGCTAAATGAAGTTGGCAAATGAACAGAATTGAAATAAAATTGTATATTTAATATCATTTACACCAAATTCGCTCAATTTTTAAATATTGATTTTAGTTATATCACTAAGTAAGTGTTTAACATTTTTGCATTTTTTGAACGTTTTAGCTTAGATTGCACCTGAGCCTCATAAATGCATGTGCTCGCAAGAATCGCGACAAGGAAAGTAACGTCATTTAGATTTCTTGAGACTTTTAGGTTTTTTTTCACTGAAAACCATTTTTTCTATGATTGTGTTTTTCAAACGTTTTCTGAAGTGTCTTAGATGTTGTTCAGAGAACGTTTTTTTTCGCAACGGTGAATACTGTATTTGTTCTAACAAGTACAGTGGTGTGCTAATTTTGTTTAGTTCCGCTTGACTGAATATATAGCAACATGCAATATAATACAAGTCAACATTTGAGTCTCAATGTTTTCGTAAAATTTTGAAATCCAGAGCTTGGGAACAGCATTTGCTGCGATTGGGAGGGCGAATTAATTGTTGAACAATACGTTATAGAAACACGTTTACTGCTACACTCACTTAAAATCATAAAAAAACTGGCTATTTCAGTCGCTCGGTTTCCCGGCAATTGACTGGAACTGCGCGTCATTTGAGGAAAGCGTGACGTCATGTAAGTAACATTTCAGCAAGCGTGCATTAAAGTGGTACTATGACGAAAATTTTGCCTCTCGTGTTTTTTTCATAGATTAATAGTGTATGTTAAAAAATCTCTTCTGGCGAAATTTTAGCGCAATTTATTTCATGCTGTATGTTTGTAACACACAATACAATGACGTAAGAACCAGACAACAAATACGGCTAACCTGACGTTTACTCCTCATTTGACTCTGAAGATGACTACCGCTAAGGTTGTCGAAACGTCAGTCAACAACATCAAAAACAGTCCTTCTCAGGACTTTATTAACCTGGACGATCATCATTTACAAACATATAACGATACTCCCGGGTTCAAACCATTTACTGTATTTCATGCTGCTCGAGTTACGTAGCGATAAAACTTGAACTTTAAGAGCCGCCATTAAAATGCACCATATTTGAATTTTCAAGAAGGAAGGTGCTTGTGACGTCATAGTCTTAACTCGCGGCTGTTTACAATATAACACTATATACAAATAGAGATTTAAAAGGTTGTATAACTCAATTTTTTTAACATGCCTTCAACACGCTGTGTCGTGCAAGATTGCAGTAATAAGTCTGATAGAAGTACAGGCATTTCATTACATAAAAGCCTAAACGGCGAGTCTTTGAGAAGAATTTGGGTTAAATTTGTTCAGACGAAGCGAGCAAACTTTAATCCGAGTTCGCGCAAAATTCGATTCATGATTTCTTCGAATCACATCTCGGATGATTGTTTTGAGCGTTTATTCCATTTGCGTGGTATGACTAGACGGCTCAAACCTGGTGCCGTACCTACTATTTGGAAGAAACCACAAACACCAACAACGTCAAGAGAGCGGCGTCAGGTTAGCACAAGTTGCAATTATATACTTACACATATTGCAGATGATAAATTTTCACAATTTGAGAGAACCAATAATACATCCAGGCAAACCATTTAATATATAATATACATTTATACTAAGGTTTTAAAGGAAATACAAAATGAAGTGTCTGTATCATGCGATGACCTTTGGTCTTTAAACCTAAAGGCGGATCTCCACTAGACGATTTTTATGACGATCGTCTTAAAAATTCGCTGCGCCACATGCGCAGTAGGAAATAAAAATCGTCAACTAAATCGTCAAGCGCTCGACGAAAAGTAGAAACGGTTTCTACTTTTCGTCGAGCGCTTGACGATCGTCGTAAATTGAACCAATGAAATTTCATTCCGTGAAACTAATTACCATTTCTCTAAAGTCAAAATGGCTGCCACCAGTGGAGAAAACGAATTCCAACTGAACGGTACAAATCCTGTAGAAAATATTCCGTCAGAGATTCAAATACTTGCATCTCCGAGGAATATCTCAGTGGTGCAACATTTTGTTGATCAAAATGTGGTGCAAGATGTTGGAGAGCTCGATAAGGAAATGTTTTTGCAAGCTCTCCGAGACTATAGTTGCTTGTGGGATACAAGCAATATAAACTACAAAAATAGGACCATGAAACTTAATGCATGGAAATCTTTGTCTCGAATGTTCCAGCGAGAAGGTAAGTGTTCTAAATTAATGGAGGACTTCAAGAAACTTGAGAATTTCACTTGTGTTGTTTGGTTATTGTGATGTAACATGTTAAACATGCTAAAGTGGACAGGAAAACTTCTCGACGTTTCTGCGTAAGGGTGTTCGTCTCACCATTTCGTTTGACTGTGCTCCTTGACTATATGTGTTATTTCGTATTTTATGTCAACTCTAACAAAATTTGTTTCTTGCCCTTTTTCAGTTCCATACCTTCAGAAAATTTTAAGAACCTTAAAGATTCTCTAAAAATGCCTTGATAGGAGACGAGCATTGTCTAAATCTGGGGCAGCTGCTTTCCAACATGCAAATATTTTGAGGTTATGAGATTTCTTCATGAGAAAACAAGCAATTTGGAAACTCACAGCAATGTGGATCTTGAAATCCAAACAATACCAGAGAACATATTGGACATATCCTCATCACAATCTCCAGGACCTAGTCAGCCTTCTTCAAGCTGTTCAAGTGTATCAGATGAGGCAAAATATGGTAAAAGAAAACGTCCTAATTCTAACGATCAACTAGATCCATTTCTTGACCATGTGAAGAGTATGGACCAGAAAATGGTAAATTATTTAGAAGGATTGTCAGGTAGAAGAGAAAATGAAGATAAGGATGAAGCAGAGTTATTTTGTATGAGTCTTGTTCCAGTTTTAAGAGATATGGAAAAAAAGCAACTCAGACAAGCTAAATTAAAAATTCAACAGCTTTTGTATGATTTACAATATTCAGATAGCTAAAGAAAATTGTTGTAGAACTTCACATATCGCATTAAAAATTAATAACATACTCTCACTTATACAAGATACATGCCTTCCAATGAATACAGATATATAGCAAGTGAAATCATTTATTTTAAAATTATAGCTTAAACATGTATTGCTAACTACATAAAAAACCCTTTCGTATGAAAACCCATCACATCACTAATGCTCATATTGAATATAAATAGCTTTAAATTTGTTTTTATTTTGAACACCTTACTATTTGCCACTGCCAGTCAACTGCTCCTTCATTATTAAAATAATCGGCAAATTGTTCACGAACCCACTTAGCTTCTGCACCATAGTTATTTGATGCACCAACATCTGTAATGTCACCCAATCCATTCATACAATTTGCATCTTGTCGCCACTCACCAGGGTTAAACTCATTACCCATTTGCCCATCTTGATCAGCAAATGATGGTGGGCAGTATAGATTTGAATCGTCATCTTCATTTATGCTCATAAGGAAGTTATGCAATGCCACAACAGCTTTAGTTATGGCAATCACATTATCAACTTTGGCAACTATAGGCCTATGAAACACACGAAACCGACTAGCACATATACAAAAGCATTTTCAATGACACGTCTGGCTCTGCTTAGCCTGTAATTGAAAATTAGTTTCCTCTCAGACAGGTTTGAAAAGGATAGGGCTTCATCATGTGGCGTTTTAGGCCAAATGCATCATCCCTACAAATACGTGGGTAGTACTTTCGTTGAATGGGTAATCTTGCCATCTGTGGGCATGTTGAGAAGCTTGTTTTCAATAGCATAGCCAAGATTGCTGTTGGCATACACGCTGCCATCACTTTGCCGCCCACTATCACCAATATCAACCAGTGTGAATTTATAATTTGCATCACTAACTCCCAACAAAACAATGCTATGAGTCTTTTGTAATTAAAAACTCGATGCCTGTCCAGCAGGAGCAAACATCTGCACATGCTTTCCATCAATTGCTCCCAGCATATTAGGAAAGTTCCATCGATCTTCAAAATCTTTAGATACTTTTTCCAGTCACTTTCAGTGCAAGGTGTTTTCATGAAACCCATTTCCTTTAGTTTGTCCCAAAGTGCGTTGCATGTTTCGTAGATAATTCGACCAACAGTCGTTGAGCTCATTCTATAATTGGCAGCGATAGTTGTATGAGCATCCCCAGTTGCCAAATATCGCAGAGTGACTAAAAGTCTTTGATCTACACTTATTGGTTCTCGCATTTTCGTCTCTTTCTTTCTTATCATCGGGGCAATATACCCCAACAAGGTCTCAAAAGTGTCAGGTAACATCCTGAAATATCTGAAAACATTTCATGATCGTATAATCGCAAGTCTTTAACCAGCAAATTGTACTCTCCTTTCTCATTTCTTTCCTCGTACAGTTTACGCATCCAAAATCTTGGTCGTTTTCGCTTTGTTTTCATGGATCTTACTCTACATGCATGCAGTAAAATCAAATGCCTTCGAAGAAGTAAATAATGCATTAAAGTTTGATTCACATCCGCCATTTTCTCAATTTCACATTGCAATTTGCAATCGTCTTTGACGATTTTGTTGACGATTTTGTTGACGATTTTATTTCCTACTGCGCATGTGGCGCAGCGAATTTTTAAGACGATCGTCAAAAAAATCGTCTAGTGGAGATCCGCCTTAACGAAGCTGCTTGAAGAACAAATTCATTCAGGCAAACTTCGTTAAAGCCAGGGTGATCCAAAATGCATTTCCTTTCATCGATTTCGAACTGATACATTTTACCACGGCATTGCTCTATTTCCATGCAGCATCGGCACTCTTGAGGGTTGACAACAAGATCCAACGAACAATGGCCACATTCACACCTTTAATGTTGGCCAAATTGTATGTTTCCATAAAGTTATCATAGCTAACGGCAGACGATTCAGATCAAAGTAACACACTAAGAATGACATCTTACCATGAAGTAACATCAACACGGGCATCAAAACGATCTTGCAACATGTCTTCAACCCGCCGTTCTTCTGCGACTGTAGCTACGTACTCAGCAATTTCATCGGGCGAAGCAAGCGGTTCAATATTATCGACAAATGGCAAAATTTCCGAATTAGATTCGTTCAAATTTGCCGTCACAAATTCCGATGAATAAATCGATGCGTTTGTCTCGATTGAAGACTCAGAGAGCGAGCTAGATCTCGATGAATTTGACATTTTTTTGCTCTATTTATGTTTTTCTTTGTATACTTTCAAATGTGCGCTTCTCTCCGTGTTAAGACTATGACGTCACTGACCTTTGCTGATTGCAAATATTCAAAAAGGGCCGATTTTAATGGCGGACATGAAAAGTAGACATTTCAAATGTTCATAACTCCCTCGTTATTTTATTATTTTTGCTTAAATTTTACGAAAGCAATAATTGATATGTGTTTAAACTATTGAATGCTAAAATCGATGATTTTTTAACGTTAAGTTTTCGTCATAGTACCACTTTAAAAATACAGTGAAATATCTACTTTGATATGCCTAATCGCTGTATAGTTGCTGGCTGTTCTAGCGTTCCTTGCCCGGAAAAGGGCATAGGACTTCACCGCATTCTTTTTTATGGATCAGAAGATACTATAAAAAAGGAAAGGAGGAAAAAGTGGCTGGATTTTGTCGCTTTAAAACTAGCAAAATGCCCAATATCAAAGATGTCGAGCATTTGCTCGCTGCACTTCAAACCTGAAGATTTTACCAGACGGTATACTAGTTTGCAAAGGAAAACAAGTAGACTGGTGTTTGTCGAAGTTGGTGTGTTTGCTTTTCCTTCTGTTCATCTCTCAGAAAGACTGATGAAAGAAAGTGCGCCTTCTGAAAGGAATCGTAGACAGGTAAAGATTTCTGTTTAGAATCCTATATGTAATCCGCGTGAGACTGATAACTTCGATGAAGGAAGCTTGTTTTGAATTCGTCAAAGATTTTGTGATGGACATTTAATTTTTCCAGTTGATACCATATTGTATTTTGTTGTAGATTGTTAGAGATATTTTGTCTAGCACAGAAGCAGGTCCTTGCTCTTCTAGTCAAGACACTTTTGGAGCTGAAAGTGCAACCTCTTTGGAAGACAGTGATACTGATGTTGAATTTGTTGATGATGTCTTGCGAGTTCAAACAATTGCAGTACAAGCAGAAGTATAGGTATTGAATTTATTCCAATAATTTATTCAAAAGACTTTTTACACTAGTAGATTGTAAGATCTAAAGATTATATCTTTTTTTGTAAGTTCAGAATGGGTTTTGCCAAATTGAAGAATACTGCAGGCAATGTGTTCAATACAAAGAAAACACGAGGCAAATGAAGCGAACGATAGAAAGCAAGAATGCTATTATCCAACAACTCACTGAAGGTAAATTGTTTCATTACATTCAATTTGGTTTCTTCAAGAACATATATTCTTGTGGTGTCTCTATGTCATTTAAATAGATACATGGCTGCAATTGAATTACTTAAATATGAGTATTGTAACACCTGTTTGGAACAGTAGTAAAATGTGTCAAGGTGGATAAACAGAATGAGGAAGAAAAGCAGGATGGTAGTGATGATGATAACATGTATATGGATATTGACATTGGTAGTGAGATGGAAAATGAAGGTGAAGTTTGATTTCAATGCTAATAGCTGAAATTATATACCACAAATTTTATTAACATATAAATATGGTCCATAGGTTCTGACAACTATGACATTGAAACTTATTCTTCCCAAAGTGAAGAGCTAGAATCTGAAGATGAAACAAACCAGTCAAAAAAGTACGATTGTGTTGTACATATGCATTATTTAGTCTTCCAGTGTTATCAATCATTTTATCTGTGTCTCACGACAGACAAAATATAATATATACATGTATTGTTCTAACAATCGGGGTGAACAAAGAAGAAAGCAACCTCCGAAAGCAACCAAAGTTTATTGTCACCTTGCCACAGCTATTGCTCCAAGTATGTCCATCATATGGTACTGATAAGCCAATAGTCAAAGTATCAAAAGTTGGTACTATGGCTGATAAAAGCACTTCATGTGGCAACCTTAGTTGTAAAAATAGAGAGCACAAGTGGAAGTGACAATCATTTCTGCCAGGTTCCCGTATTCCAATGGGAAACTTTCTCCTCTCATTTGCCATTTTGTTGTCTGGAGCTTCTGCTTGCAAAGTACTTTGAGTATTCACACACATGGGTCTTCAAGGCATATCTTTGACCACATTCTTCAAACATCAATGGGTAAGTGGGTTGTTGTGATTTTCCTGATTCCCAAGGTTTGAAGTTGTGTTTTTTATATTTATTTTATATTTCTTTTTTAGGAATTGCTTTTCCCAATGGTCAGGATCCATTGGAGGAAATATTCGCTGGCCATGTTTGAAACAATTAAGAAGCAGAAGAAAACAGTGGTCATTGCAGGAGATGGCAGACATGACAGCATGGGCCATTCTACAAAATATTGTTCTTACACAATATTTTGTTGCCTTGTGCCCATGATTCTCCATTTTGAACTAATTCAAGTATGTATTATTGACCTACTTTGTATGACACATTGAGGGTGGCTATATTTACCCCACCCCCTACTTTTTATGACACATTGAGGGTGGCTTTATTTACCCCACCCTCCTGCTTATTATGGCTAATGTATGATGGTAGGATTTTGTTCGAGAGGTTTTTGTAAACTGAAGTTTTCCTTCTCATATTTCCAACCTATATATTTTAGACACAAATTATCTAGAGGCAATAGTCTCTGCTACATTTTGAGAGATGCAGTGTAAAGCTAGCTCAGGAAGGCAGGGATACAACTTTGTTAACTTTAACTTAGGACACATGTAAATATTTTTCTGTTTAAATCACAATTATTATTTTAGAGAAACGAGGCGGGAAGTAGTCCAGCCATGGAATACATTGGTTATCAAAGATGTATGGATTACATGCTGAACTGTAGACTCGATATTTCTACCATGGTGACAGACTGCCACAAATCAATACAGAAGCACATGCGTGAGAATCTGAATCAAATAACACATTATTTTGACCTATGGCACATTAAGAAAAGTTAGTACAGTTATTGCATAAAAGATGTAGGTTGTGTTCTGTTTCGTCATTGTGGCTAAGTTAGTTAGATAGAACTTTCCTTTGTTGATCATCCGACGCAAATCTATGCACTAAAATGTTGTTTTTATTTTCTTTTAACAGACAGAAGCACGAAGAAATAATGTGTGAAAATTATCGAGTGGTTTGTAAGTATTGTATTCAAATGATACCAAGAAAAGATATCGAACATCATGAAAGTACAACTTGTGATGAAGTGCCGACGACATATGAATTTCAAGCCATTGGATGCAACCATGATAAAGTAAGAATGTTTGAACTGATTTATAATTTTATGTCAGCAGTAGTAGATGCGTAGTAGCTCCCACCGACAATCTTGCATTTGTTCTTTGCATAAAAAGATTTTACGTCAAAAACCCTTGAGATGATAGTATGGTATAAAAATGCTTAGAAGTTTTAAAATTTAAAACAAACAAAGTTAATAACGTTGACTTTGTAGTTAAATGCAGCTGCATCAGGTTTACATGAAGTACACATTTATATATTCACCCATTTACAAATTTATAAATTCAGAACATATGATTATTAAGATACACTTGATAATTTACCCAAGCTAAGGAGCTAGAGCTTTCCCGATAAGCAAGTTGCAGTAAATATAATTCAATCTGAAGTATGAACGTACTTTGTACTCCTTACTTTACACGTATATGGAGACTGGGGGGACTGAGAAAGGCTTAGACGTGGCAAAAAAAAGAAATTTCTCGTTTACTTTTTATATAAATAAAATATAAGTTAAGTAACGAGATTTATTATGATACATAATGTCTTAATCATACATAAAGATTGAAATGAAATAACCAGTAAATAGCATCAAATATTTTGTTAAAAGAATGTGCTGGCTGTATCTTTTTCTCACTTCACAGACTTTAAAACGAAAGGAGATCAGACAACATATGAATGACACTCCAATTAATCACGTGAGCCTCTTGTTACGATATGTTATGGCATTTGTTATACTGCTTTGTAACTTCGTAGTATGTCCAGATGTTAGATGGCAAAATTACAGTTCTGGAAAGAAGAATTGAGTGTCTCGAGGGTCGTGGTGGTAGCAATAGTTATAACACCCAGTTGTCCCCAGAGGTTTCCTTGTTGCGTGAAAGAATTTCAACTCTTGAGCGACAAGCGAGAGACGATTCTTCCACTATACAACGGTTTCGTAAGCGTTTAGATCAAATAGACGAATCAATGAGAAACATGGTGAACATTACGAACCTTGAAGCGCAACGTGAAGAGCGCGCACTGGGATCAAATCAGGCCATACACAGCTATAATGGTACGTTACTTTGGAAAATAGACAACTTCAATCGAAAGCGACAGGACGCCATTAATGGTGTTAAGAATGCCTGGTACAGTCCACCATTTTACAGTTCTCAATATGGTTACAAGATGTGTGCTAAGATCTATATGAATGGTGATAGTCGGGGAAATGGAACTCATTTATCTTTCTTCTTTGTTATCATGAAAGGTAAAGCTATTTTTAACAGTTTCTACTTAAGCTACCTCGATATTTTTAAGTGGATTTTTGAAGGTATAAAATAGGCTGTACAAGATGAAGTCAAAAATTGCGTTATAATAGACCTTTTCAAGGTTATCGCAGCCATATTACAGGGGGTGCAAAAACATTGGGCCGAGCGCGCGGTCACGCATGGCGTCCATAAAACTTACTAATAAATGCGCAAAAATTACCCTTATACATATTGGCCATTTCTTTCAAAAATATTTCTCAAACTCGTCCATTTTAATAGTTGAATTATTATTTGCAATTTTTTATAGACGTGAGTCCAATTTTGTGGTAATCAAAAAGCGGAAAGTTAAAGAAAACATTTGTTTGTTTTTTTGAACAACTTGAACGTCGTTTGAGCGATGTTCTTGAGTTCGCAAATGTGCGGATCCATAAGCCAAGTCAAACGAACTAAACCCTAAACTGGCCGAGTAGCCGTGAGCAGTCATAGCCGAAATGGCAAAAAATGCGCGTTGTGCAGTTGGATATTGCGATAATGATAAACGCTATCCTAATTACCAAGTTAAGAGGTCTCACGTAGAAAATTTAGTTTTTCATAAGTGGCCCAAAGATCAAGCACTTGCTGAAATTTGGCGAAAACAATTGCAAACAGCAGAGCCGATGACTTTAACCCAAAGCCTGGTGAACAAGGTACTTTAGTTTGCTCAAATTATTCTCCCTGTCCCTTTGGAATTTGAACAGTTGACGAAAGAGTATGATGTAAGGTTTCACACCGGCCTGCTATCGACTAACAGTTTTAAGTGTGTATTTGAATACTTGGCTGTTTCTTCTTCTGGCTGTTTAGTCGCCATACATAATAATAAAAATAGTAATGTCACTTTACAAATAATTGGAAATACTAATAAGAGTTTGCCGTCGAATAGTTCCTCGTGATACTTGCTGACTTTGCTGTGGACATGTGCGTGTTTGCGAACTCAAGAACATCGCTCAAACGACGGTCAAGTTGTTCAAAGAAAACAAATGTTTTCTTTAACTTTCCGCTTTTTGATTACCACAAAATTGGACTCACGTGTATAAAAAATCGCAAATAATAATTCAACTATTAAAATGGACGAGTTTGAGAAATATTTTTGAAAGAAATGGCCAATATGTATAAGGGTAATTTTTGCGCATTTATTAGTAATTTATATGGACGCCATGCGTGACCGTGCGCTCGGCCCAATGTTTTTGCACCCCCTGCAATATAGCTGCGATAACCTTGAAAAGGTCTATTGAGATCATGTAATTAGATTGCTCCAGAAGCATAATATCTAAGAGTACAGGATACGTCACGTGACTAGCTGTGCTTTTTGGAATAGATAGGATTACAAGTTAGATGCTTAGTTGGAACAAGTTGTTGAATAATGTTGAACATGGTATGAAGAATATAAAGCCAAAGATTTTTATTTTCAATTCACCGAAAAAGCAGACTAAAGCTTACAATTGTTTGTTTGTGAGATGCGATGCTATTTAGTTTTTTTGATCATGTACAAAAATAAATGACGATAGAAGGGAAAGGTATGCCTTGGGATTTATTAAGACTTATATCATATTATTATAAAAATTTATATTGTGTATGATATTATTTCTAGGTGATTTCGATGCTCTACAAACATGGCCATTTCAAAAGAAGATCACAATGATGTTAATAGCTCAAGGAAATGGTGATCACATGATTGATGCTTTTCATTCATATCCTCAAAGTTCCTTATTTCAGCGACCAGAGTCTGATATGAATCCATTTGGATTGCCACTTCTAATTTGGCCGATAGAGAGTTTAAGCAATCTTTCGTTCATTAAAGATGATACAATGTTCATTAAGTTAGTTGTTGAATGAACAAAAAATCTAAATACACTCGCTCCTGCTTCTCTATCTTCGACACTGAAACTATTTCAATCCTTTATCAATCTTAAAATTAGCTTTATACTTAGGCAAAGACAACCGAGCTAAACATGTTGCAAACAACTCTCCTAGCTCTTTCACGTAATTTTCAGTTGTCTATACAAAATGCTATTTGTTGTAAAGCACTCAATAGTGTTTATATAAGTTTTTTTTGTTTGCTTCTGGTCAGCATATCCACAGTAAAGGAATATACAACAGTAGGGCCACTTCGCTGTGCAATTGGCTGCTGTATATTTAATTAGTTTACAGGCTGCCGATAGTTAATTATTTTACAGGCTTAAGATACTAATGGGCGACTTCAATGCAAAGGTTGGAAAACACCATAGGAGCGATGGAGCAACGGTCGGGAATTTTGGCCTAGGAGAAAGAAATGAAAGAGGAACCAGACTGGTGCAATTTGCAAAATCAAAAGGCTTGAAAATTGCGAACACTTATTACAGAAAAAGAAAGACCAGAAAGTGGACATGGAGAAGTCCAAATGGAGAAATAAGGAATGAGATCGATTACATACTGGCAAACAAGAGCATGATCCAGAATGTTAACGTGATCACAAGAGTAAACATCGGCAGTGATCACAGAATGATCAGAAGCAAGATCAAGATGAATGTAAGATTGGAGAGAATGGAAATGATGAGGCCGAAAGGTGCGAAGGTCAACATCAACACCAACGCTTTGAAGCTAAAAGAGACTGAATTCCAACTGAAGTTGCAGAACCGCTTCGAAACCTTACAAGAAGACGGTGTGGAGGAAATGGCCCTTAAGATCACAAAGACTATCAAAGAATGTGCCATGGAAACAGCTGGAAGAGATGAAAGACGACAAGAGGAAAAGCTCAAGCCTGAAACAAAAAAACTGTTAAAAGAGAGAAGAGAAATGGCAAAGAGAGATCTGAATGACCAGAAGAGAAGAGAGTACAATGAACATTGTAAGACCATCAGGAAGAGAATGAGAGAAGACCTCAGAGAGCACAACACCATGCGAGTGAAGGAAGCAATTGAGAGTGGGAAAGGATTGAAGAGAGCTAAAGTGAAAGAAGGCTGCAAGGTTCTTATACCAACTTTAGAGGAACAAGATGGAACCGTCATCAATAACATCGACAGATAGTCAGAAAATTAGGACTTATGGTTTTGTTTTGCATGCTGAAAAAAGTCCACGTTTTAAGACTTTTGCTTGTCTTTAGGATTGACGGATTAACCAGTGGGAATCGTATCTTAGTTAGATATAATACCCAGGATAGTAACGTTTTGAACTCCCATAGTCCAGTAGTCCAATAACCTCGGTCATATTCCAATAGAACAGGAACTTGTTTATGGACATAAAAGTTGAGCTGATGGAAGCATTGCTTAAGAGCAACATGTTTTATTTGCGATTGTAGTATATGATGTAGATGGATTGATGGACAAAAGAAGTCTCGTGTTTTCTAACGTCATTAAAGTATATACTGTCCTGTCCTTGATCATTGTTCGGAGGACTTCCAAGCCAGCAAAATCACGTTGTCTCAACGTTGTACCAACGTTTGTCGAACGTTCACTCAACGTCGGGGACCAACGTGCACTAAAATGAACGTTTTTAAAGGTACGCATTATGTATATGTGTCCATTCCATGTTGCTTTACTTATAATTGAAGAACAATGAAAGACACATGCTCACATTCTTGAAGTGCACATGCCAATAATGTTATTGTGTAGTTTTCTCAACTTACACATACAAGAAAATACAAATATGTTAACTATGAGATTACGAAGTAAAATAAGTTGAGTTCTTCCTGTCTAAGTTGAGAAAATCAAACAAAGAAAAAATGGCATCTATATACTTTACCCAGCAATCTATGATGATAATGACATGTTACCTTAAATCTGGAACCACCTTGCTTGCATGCAGCATATTTAAAAATTCGGCAATTTGCTCTTCAACGTTTGCCTCGCTGCATCCTTTATGAGCTTTGAAGAAGGCTTCTAACAAGTGAAACGAAACAGAAAAGACATACTTTAAATAAATTGCATAGACAAAACACTAAATCATTTTCGTAAGCTGAATGATAAACAACAATTCATTATAGTGACATATGCAAAACAGTTTAAACTATTAGCTTTTAAAACTTGCAACAATATTCCTTATGACAAGGAGCAACATAAATGGCTGTTTTTCCAATTCATGAACGAGAAAAACAAGATAAAACATGGTAATGCTGCAGCAATCATTATCGTCTAATTGTGCTTACTTGTTATAACTTTGCAGAGGGCAAGGTGCTGAAATGGTCGCTTTGACTTTCTGCCTTTTAAACTATATTGGGACCATAGATTATTTGTTCCCAGCTTTGTCATAATTCTTCTAACACTGTTTGCACAGGTGTTTGCGCACAGTGCTACCAAAAACTGCAGCTAGTAAAGAGAGTAAAAGATAAATTATATGGAAAAGTTCAATTTAGACGTATATATATAACCATTTTGATCTCAAATTGCAAAATAAAACCATCCAAAGTGAATGGTGAGAGCTTTTAGAAAGACCAGTTTCTTCGTTAAAAAGTTTTCAGCACAAATAAAACCACACACACTTAAGAGCCGTTTGAAGTATCGTAACGTATTTAAATCAATAACAAAACGACAATGCTCTCACGAAAAACACGATGCTAGATTCATATAGTTTAATCAGATAATCTGACCCCCTAATGTCACGAAAATCGTCACTAAAATTACGTTTCAGACTTTGACAAACGTGCATGTTTTCAAGCTTCAAACACAAATGGTAGAAAAAAGTCAATATTATGTTACGTAATTGCAAATGAAACTATCGTTTTCACGTTTCTAAACCGATAAAGGGGAAGAGCTATGCCTTCCTTTGCCACATTTTTTTTACGTAACACTTGAAAGAGTCATGCATAAAAAATAGGCAGTGCCAATAAATATTACTAAATACGTATGGGTGGTTAACTTTCCAAAACTTACCAACTTTCTTCTGGACTTTTCTTCATCATGACTAGAGGATAGCTCTTCAAGTTCTTCAACCGAATCTAAGGGATTAGGTACAAAATCTTCCAAAATTTCGTGCTCGTCTACACCTTTCTTAGCGCTTAACAGACCACGCAATATTGACAACGCTTCTTCTTGCTTATCAATTAATGTTTCCAGTTTGGTCAGAACTGATCTTTGGAAGCCTACAAGATAGATAAGAAAATAATAGAATAACTTATGTATAACCTACGTAATATCTTAAAAATATAAAACCTTACAACATGCTAACAAGAAAATTCAAATCAAACTCGCATCAAATTGCTAATTGAATACACATACATGATAACAACGCTATTCAAAAACTACATACTGTAGAAAAGGTACCATTAATGTTTAATTGAGAACGTCTTCCTGCAGGTGTTATGTTCATAAAACTTGTCGAAGGAGTTTCGTGCGATGAAAGGTCATGCGCATCTGCAAAGCAATTACGTGTTGCAGTTAGTTGTGAAGAAAAAAATACATTTCAAACGACACGAAATGAACGTAAATGAAAACGTAACAACAAGACATGCAATAATGAATTGTAAGAAAAGCTTGCCTAAGACACCACTGTTTCGTTGAGAATGTCTTTCTCTTGTTGTGCCAGTTGTAGGAATTCCTTGTGAAGAGACGTTGCTTGTATCTACAGAGAAGACATGTACTGGGTTTAACATATATCTTTATTGAACGCACGAACGTCATTTAAATTAAGGTACTGCAAGTTTCAAAAGTCAGAAACAGAAAGGTGACTAAAATAAAAACCTCGAGAAAGTTTCATTTAGAAGATTGATAGCAAACACTGAGAATTAGATTTGAACGAATGTATTTTGATTAAATCGTGGTGAACACAACTGCAATTTTAACTATAACTAACATTTTTTCAACTTACTACAACAATATTTTAAAGGACCAACGCCTACAGCACCTGCAGAACATACATAAGCCATATAATGCAACGATGGACGTAGAAAAACAGTAAATGTACAATACAAATGTTAAAGTTATTTAAAAAGAATCAATCAAAATTATTTCAACATTCTAGTCGACATACATATTATATGAAAGTTGCTGATTAGTCAGTTCTGATGACAGAAAACTCTTACCACTACGCTGAGATGGTGTCCTACTAGTAGATGGGGAAGTTATTGCATTATCCTATGTGTTTTGGATTTCTGGTACTAGTTCACATTTATATAAATCTAGATCAACATTATATTAGTACAGAAAGAGAAATTTTATACGTGCATGTTTCTGTAAAAAATTGTCCATTTGTACAAGGATTATAACAGCGCATATACCTTTTTCTGCAAGGGAGATCAGCTCGCTGTACATTGGCAAATCTAAAAAGCAAAATCACTCGTTAGATTTAAATGCAACGTAGCAAAATGTGAAAAACTGCACTCCTTTGAATAAAGCAATGGCCTATTGCATTGCAACTACAGTACTTACTTCTATAATTTGTTGATAAGATTTCATTGACGGCTGAAAGAAATTTTGCCTGTATACAAAAGAAACTGTCTGAATTCTGTAGCTTTCCATCTGTCAATTTCCATTAAACTCCCAGGTTTTCGCACAAATGTAGAGAGGATAAATGGTTTAAGCTCCACCAATTTTTTACTAACAGTCTCTACATGGGCAACAGACATTTTAACAGCGTGATTTCCCCTCATCCAAACCATAATAAATTTACCCATAACATCCAAACACAGTTGATGCATTTAGTCAATTAGAATTTGTTTTACCATATAAACAGGCAAGTGACAGAAAGTGCTAACAAAGCGATGATGTTCTTCTTGTATCTGCTTTCTAAAGGAAATATTAGTGCACAATTCTATATTAGTATTTTAAGAGTAAGTCACTCGACCAAGCCCCTTCCCTTTTTGTGTACTCTTGTTACAACCAAAATAACCACTACAAAGTTTTGTACCTTTAACAAGTGCTCTTGCAGGAGCATCACAAACAATGCCCCTTACTGTAACAGTCAGAACCTTTTCCACATCTTGCACTCCCCTCTCTAGAATACCCTTCAAATCTTCTATAAACTCATCCAAAACTCCAAGCCTTTTGGCTCGGAGTCACCACATGTTACAACAATAGGAAACACTACAACAGGTTTGATATTCAAAATGGCACACAACACTGGCCATACATTTTTTGCAGAACTTTTAAACAAAGGAAGCCCATCAACATTTAAAGAGATTTCAAGATGATTAATGTTCTTAACTGTTTCACAAGGATGCTTGTGAAAGTACTTTAACAATTGTTCACCAAAAGAAAAATACACATAATCCATGCCAGATTTTTTCTGAATGGGAATACATCTTGATGTTTGCAACAAAGTGCGAGCACAACTAGGCAAATTTGGATGACCATTATCCTTAGGAAGAGCAAGCAAACCATCAACAGCATTTTGCTTGATTGAGTACTCATTCACCCAATCAACTAACCCATCTTGAAAAGAAACATTTAAACTATATCATGTTCAAATTTCAGAAGAAACAGAAAAATGCCTCTCCCCAATGTCTGCATTCACATGGACTAAAGAATTAGCTTTTCCATGGCAAAAAGAAACATCTAAAATATCAACTTCACTAGAAACAGCATGGTTATTTTCCCAAATATCACAATCATTAAGACCAACTTTTAAAGAGAAAGAACTTTGTTTAGGACTGGCAATGGTTCAAGCTGATTTTTTGTAAAGGTTGTGAATGTCCAAGGTCATCAAAAACATTATTGAACAGATTACTACAGCCATCATCATTAGGTATTGCATCACTGCATCTTAAAGCTCTATTAGCAGCAATCCAGTTTTTTTTTTCTGTATTGCGCCTGGTCACGTTTCATTATGATATGAACTAAAGTAAATAATAAAATGTAACTGTCACTCTATTTATTTTTGATTGATTTAAACATATATTAATGTTAGAACCCATTCCCCCTAAGTGCTAGTGATCACAACATTTAGCAAAATGTTTAAATAAAAAAATGATGAATCTCATTCACAGGTCATGGTAACTTATATGTCTCCTCAACCATTTGTAACTTATTCTCTTCTTTACATGCATGTATCATACCTAATTTATACATAAACCCAAAATTTTAAGTTTAACATTATAGTTTACTTGCTAGCAACAGCAAATGGAAAATGTTCTAAGCAACTAAATAAAAATAATTTAACTGACATTGCAAGCTTACTAAAGAAATAGGCTAAGTTAATAAACCAATCTAAGAGATAAAAAATTGGGTTGTAAACTACATATTGTCTTGAATGCAATAATTGGACAAACGATACTTACTAGTATTATAAAGCAACCATGCATTGTTATGAATAAACATTCAATTACCTCTTTGTAAAATTATTTCACTGTTTAAAAACTGCTGTGATTTGCAATAGAAACTACAACTATTTTAAGGTTTAAGGCTACGTGATTTTTAATCAAAAACATTTTGTAAATCACATAATCACATAACACCATGTTAAAAAATATTAATCATCACCGCTTATCAGTCAGTCAGTTAATATAATTCCAGATATGCTAAAACGTGATATTTACGTAAGATTTCAGATATAAAACAGAATTTTGACAATGAAATTCATACGATTATACATCAGAATTCAATGATCACAAAAATTGTAATCATTAAATTTGATAAGTAATTTTGAACTATAAACATCAGTCGCGTGAATGATTTGACATACCCTAGATCCGCCCCTGCATGTTATGACAATAACAAACATACGTACTGATGAATACCATATCCAAATGCTGTAGCAAGGTGTAGTGATAATATTATCTTTATAAAATAAAAATAGAAACTAAAACTAAGAATAAACTAAGCTTAGTAAATTTGTTTGTTCCTACACCAATATACACGGACTCATAAAGTCACGGCAATAGTAACATACGACAATCTCTAGATTATAAAGAATGATAAAATAAAGGTACTTACCACAATTTTAAGCAATGAAACATATTCTAGATCATAACTGCCTCTAAACTTGGAAAGTGAGCTGCGCATTATCTTGTCTTGACAACTATTAGGCAAATTCGATTCTTGCACGAGCGATTTTCAAATAAACACGAACGCCGATATTTTACAGGTATCGAAATAATTTTGATGTCACATTGATTTAAATAACTTTATTTATCCATGACAGATATTTGAGATAAGTAAAACGTCGCCAAATCTCTTAAATATTCGAAAATCCTTGTTTGTAAACGTTATCCGCCAAACATTCCTATAGTAATTTGTATCTCTAGTGGGTAACCGGAAGTGCATTTTGCATATATAATTAAGCTTTACATTTAACAAAAGCTCAAAATAATTCGCGATTTCGCTGCCAAGCAAGAAACCCGATGTAGTGTTCTTCGCAGAAACATAGCTTACATGATACTTGTAATCTTGAGATATCTGAGTATAACATTGTTTTTAAAAACAGAGCTTTTGGACCACATGGAGGTGGTGTATATGTTTTCATGTATAAGACCAACTTTTAATTACGGAGCTAAGGTTTTTTTTAACAAACTCCCAAAATACCAAGGAAACGGTAATAAAATTCAAGCATATTAATAAAAACAATAAAAATCATAAGGCCGTATCTTTGCTTTTACATGACAATTAACTTTTAATGTTTTAAATTCAGTTGCCCAAAATATTTTGCCACGTATGAACTCAACGGACGAAGCCATTTGACGCTTAACTTATCAGAACGTTAAGAGATCTGAACGATCGAATATTTGAAGCTTCAACCGTCGACCAGTGAAAGGTTTGTAACACTAAAGATAAAGAATTATTGTGTGTGTAAACGATGTACAAATGAGATCTTAAATAAAAGTTGTTCGTCAAATATAATTAATACAATTTTGATAAATATTAGTCTCAACCTGGTACTATAAAATATACATCATAGATACCCGTAGCAACTTGAAAACAAAGTTACAAATACAAACAATTTGCTTACCAAAAAATCACTGTCATCTAAAGGAAGACGTGTTTATCATGACGTGCTTGCTTGCTAAGTAATTGAAATTGTTTGCTAGCATGCAATTATATTTATCTTTGGGTCCGGACGGTATATTTATAAAATATGTGTTATTTCATTATACTTGTGATAGTATGAAATGACATTTATGAATCAAGAAGAAAATTTGGTTTGAAATTGCAAATGGACTCATGCATGCCATCGTTGAATATTTTAAATATTTAGTCGTTTTGTGACGTTGCAATTATCTTTCGTCGAGCTGTTGACGCTAAGGTGATACATGCAAATTCATAGAATTAAATAAAAAAAACTGAAAATCTTTGATTTCTAATTTGTAAAAACAGAGCTTTTGGACCACATGGAGGTGGTGTATATGTTTTCATGTATAAGACCAACTCTTAATTATGGAGCTAAGGTTTTTTTAACAAACTCCCAAAATACCAAGGAAACGGTAATAAAATTCAAGCATGTTAATAAAAACAATAAAAATCATAAGGCCGTATCTTTGCTATTACATGACAATTAACTTTTAATGTTTTAAATTCAGTTGCACAAAATATTTTGCCACGTATGAACTCAACGAACGAAGCCATTTGACGCTTAACTTATCAGAACGTTAAGAGATCTGAAAGATCGAATGTTTGAAGCTTCAACCGTCCACCAGTAAAAGGTTTGTAACACTAAAGATAAAGAATTATTGTGTGTGTAAACGATGTACAAATGAGATCTTAAATAAAAGTTGTTCGTCAAATATAATTAATACAATTTTAATAAATATTAGTTTCAACCTGGTACTATAAAATATACATCATAGATACCCGTAGCAACTTGTAAACAAAGTTACAAATACAAACAATTTGCTTACCAAAAAATCACTGTCATCTAAAGGAAGGCGTGTTTATCATGATGTGCTTGCTTGCTAAGGAATTGAAATTGCTTGCTAGCATGCAAATTTATTTATCTTTGGGTCCGGACGGTATATTTATAAAATATGTTTTATTTCATTATACTTGTGATAGCATGAAATGACATTTATGAATCAGGAAGAAAATTTAGTTTGAAATTGCAAATGGACTCATGCATGTAATCATTGAATAGTTTAGATATTTAAGTCGTTTTAGAAGTAAAAATATTGATCTGGAAGTGTGTTATCTTTGCAATAAACTAGTTTGTATGTCCACATTTTGAATGCGGCTAAAAAAATTGCTAACCTTTTTAACGTTGCAATTGTCTTTCGTCAAGTTTTGGTTGCGAAGATTCATGTATGCAAATTCATCGCATTATATTTACAATAAATTTAAAAACAGGTGTGAGTATTGCAACTTAGTAATTCTTTTAACACTCCCACTTTATGGTCATACTTCCAAAATATCTTAAAAACGGTATATTTTAGTAAAATTTATACTTATTTCTATTAATAAATTTGTTCCAAATTATAATCAAAATAATGAACAAAAACAGTAAAAATCATAAAACCATATCTTTGCTTTACATAGCAATCTATTCTTAAGATGTTTTAAATTCTGTGGCACAAAATAATTTTCCACGTATCAACTCAAAGGAAGAATATATGATGCTTAAGTTGTCAGAACTTTAAATCTTTCTAAAAGTTCAACTGTTCATTGCTACACGCCTTTAACCAGTAGAAGGTTTGTAAGACAAAAAACAAAGAATTTTCTTCTTGATTACGACGAATAAATTTGACCTAAGGAAGCTTGTAAATTCTGTAATTGTAGATAAATCAAACGAAGTTACAATTCCAAACAAGAACAATATGCTTACCAAAAACAAATCACTGCCATCTTAAACAAGGTAAGATTTTTTCTAAAGAATATTTAATTTTTATGACTCACCACGAAGTACATTTTCTTTAAAATCGCAAATCGACACATACATGTCATCAATGAATAATTAGATATATAAGTCGTTTTAGAAGTAGAAATATTAATCAACAAGTGTGTTTATCTTTGTCATAAACTATAGTATCGCTTGTTCAATTTAGTAAGTCCACATTTTAAATGGAGCTAAAGAATTTTGCTTATCGTTGTGACGTTGCTATTTTCTTTCGTCGATGCTAAGTTGTTGACGCTAAGGTTGATATATGCAAATTCATCGCATTAAATAACACAAGTTACGCAATATGGAAATTACGACTAAGCTATAGAGTTTCACGAAAAAGTTATGGAAATTCAAGAACAATCGTCAGGTCCAAATCATGTTGATGATGCTCAGTCTTTGAACAATCATGGTAATTTGTTTTATGAAAGTGGAAATTACGAAAAAGCTATAGAGTTTTACGAAAAAGCTCTAGAAATTCAAAAACAATCGTTAGAACCACATCATGTTGATGTTGCTGAATCTTTAAACAATCTTGGTTTGGTGTTTCAAAAACTGGAAACTACGACAAAGCTAGAGAGGTTCACGAAAAAGCTCTAGAAATTCGAAAACAATCGTTAGGTCCAAATCATGTCGCCGTTGCTCAGTCTTTAAACAATCTTGGTTTGGTGTTTTATAAAATTGAAAACTACGACCAAGCTAAAGAGGTTCACGGAAAAGCTCTAAAATTCGAAAACAATCGTTAGGTCCAAATCATGTTGATGTCGCTCAGTCTTTTAACAATCTTGGTATGGTGTATTATAAAACTGGAAAGTACGACAAAGCTACAAAGTTTTACGAAAAATCTCTAGAAATTCAAAAAAAATCGTTAGGTCCAAATCATGTTGATGTTGCTGATTCTTTAAACAATCTTGGTTTGTTGTTAGAAAAAACTGGAAACTACGAAAAAGCTATAGAGGTTCACGAAAAAGCTCTTGAAATTCGAAAACAATCGTTAGGTCCAAATCATGTTGATGTTGCTGTTTCTTTAAACAATGTTGGTTTGGTGTCTTATAAAATTGGAAACTATGACAAAGCTAAAGAGGTTCACAGAAAAGCTCTAGAAATTCGAATACAATCGTTAGGTCCAAAGCATGTCGCTGTTGCTCAGTCTTTAAACAATCTTGGTGATGTGTATTATGAAACTGGAAACTACGACAAAGCTATAGAGGTTCTCGAAAAAGCTCTAGAAATTGGAAAACAATCGTTAGGTCCAAATCATGTCGCTGTTGCTCAGTCTTTAAACACTCTTGGTTTGGTGTTTGAAAAAACTGGAAACTACGACAAAGCTATAGAATTTTACGAAAAAGCTCTGGAAATTCAAAAACAATCGTTAGGTTCAAATCATGTTGATGTTGCTGTTTCTTTAAACAATCTTGGTTTGGTGTTTTATACAATTAGAAACTACGACAAAGCTATAGAGGTTCACAGAAAAGCTCTAGAAATTCGTAAACAATCGTTAGGTCCAAATCATGTTGATGTTGCTATCTTTAAACAATCTTGGTATGGTGTATTATGATACTGGAAACTACGACAAAGCTAAAGAGGTTCACAAAAAAGCTCTAGAAATTCGTAAACAATCGTTAGGTCCAAATCATATTCACGTTGCTACATCTTTAAGCAATCTTGGTATGGTGTATTATGATACTGGAAAGTACAACAAAGCTAAAGAGGTTCACAGAAAAGCTCTAGAAATTCGAAAACAATCGTTAGGTCCAAATCATGTTGATGTCGCTCAGTCTTTAAACAATCTTGGTAATGTTTGTTTAAAGACTGGAAACTACGACAAAGCCATAGAATTTTACGAAAAAGCTCTAGAAATTCAAATACAATCTTTTGGTCCAAATCATGTTGACGTTGCTACATCTTTAAACAATTTTGGTATGGTGTATTATGATACTGGAAACTACGACAAAGCTATAGAGTTTTACGAAAAAGCTCTAGAAATTCGTAAACAATCGTTAGGTCCAAATCATATTCACGTTGCTACATCTTTAAACAATCTTGGTATGGTGTATTATGATACTGGAAAGTACGACAAAGCTATAGAGTTTAATGAAAAAGCTCTAGAAATTCGTAAACAATTGTTAGGTCCAAATCATGTTGATGTCGCTGCGTCTTTACACAATCTTGGTATGGTGTATTATGATACTAAAAAATACGACAAAGCTATAGAGTTTCACGAAAAAGCTTTAGAAACTCGAAAACGATGGTTTGGTCCAAATCATGTTGATGTTGCTGATTCTTTAAACAATCTTGGTTTGGTGTTTTATAAAACTGAAAAGTACGAAAAAGCTATAGAGTTCTACGAAAAAGCTCTGGAAATTCAAAAACAATCGTTAGGTACAAATCATGTTGATGTTGCTGTTTCTTTAAACAATCTTGGTTTGGTGTTTTATAAAACTGAAAAGTACGACAAAGCTATAGATGCTCACGAAAAAGCTCTTAAAATTCGAAAACGATCGTTAGGTCCAAATCATATAAGAGTCGCTGCGTCTTTACACAATCTTGGTTTGGTCTTTGAAAAAACTGGAAAGTACGACGAAGCTAAAGTGGTTCACAAAAAAGCTCTGGAAATTCGAAAACAATCGTTAGGTCCAAATCATGTTGATGTCGCTGCGTCTTTATACAATCTTGGTATTGTGCTTGAAAAAACTGGAAAACAAGACAAAGCTATAAAGATTTTTGAAAAATCTCTAGAAGTTCGAAAACTGAATGTGCCAGGTAAGGACCATACTTATGTCACTGCGTCTTTGAGTAAGCTTCGTACGATGTACGAAGAAACTGAAAAATATGAGTCTTAAAAAAGTCAGAGTAAATTTCCTGTTCCAAGTCATGCTCATGTTTCTCTGTCATCAAAATATTTTGGTAAGTTTATAGATATTATATAAAACATAATGTTGGTGTCTTATTTGCGTTAATGATATTTTGTAAAAGTGCAACTCCGGCCAAATTTCAACCCATCTTTTTTCGCCAAATGAAAAATATAGATTCTTAGAAACATTTTGGTGTATGTTTGAGCATCTTTGGTTTGGTATAAGCTATTTAATTTTAACGCTAAACTTCGCCGCCAGATGTGAATTTTTACAAATGGATCGTAACGTCATAAGATGTTCCCACCTCGATGTTCCCATTATATTACTGAAAACAAATGCCAGCATGAAGCATCACTTTTGTTAAATTTTGTGTCGAAAAACGCGTTTTATTCCGCGAAATTTGGCAAAAGTATCAAAAAGATAACTATAAATACAAATATTGCTCAATAAATCTTTGGAGAACGCAGTTTTGTCATAAATTTCATCGACGATATTTGTTAACGCTGACAGCCATATTGAATATAAATAGTAATCAAATGTATTCTGCCGTTCTTGTACTAAATGTTGGACACTTTGATTATTAAAATAAGCTTGAAAACGTGTAACTTTTGACGATGAAGCTTTCTGCATTGATGTCTCGACCACAGGTGTTGTTCTAACTCGTAATTGTCACGGAGTTCCTGAGAATATTGTAACTATTAACCATAGTCTAAATACAGACATGACTGAACTGGAGAATCAGCTCTTTAGGGAAAATATACTGGCACAAAGTCATGCATCTATCAAATCAATAGGTACATTAATGGCTTAGGCAATATAATATTAACGTCAAATTCAATTCTTGTTTTTTGTGTCTAACTCCAACTATTTGAGATCCGTAGCTTATTGATGACTCTTAATATGTTTCAGTCGGCTAAGAATACATACATATTTCATAGTATAATACAAAAAAGTTGTCCATAATGAATTTAAAGTCCTAGATTTAAGTGGTTGATTGACATACAAATTGTTTTATGTGAGGACTGGGTCATTCATTTTGGTTGTAGACAAACAAAAGAGCCAAAGCAATAATTGAAACGCAGTTGGGATTCATATTTACATTAATCAACAAAAAGAATAATTCAAAAATCTACCTATAAACTAAAAACATATACATAAAACCAGCTCTAAAGAACAGTGAGATGGAAACAAAACATTTTCATCAAACAAACATTGCTCAAGATTTATAACAGCTATAAGCTTATTGTTAGTTGTAAGATTCAAATAAAACATTGCACCGATTTAGAGATAATAATATTCCATATACCTGGTGTCTGTTTCAAGTGACTCATAGCATTAAAGCATACATTTAAATATCGTCTTACAATATATACGTATCAAAATTTAAACACACTTTGAGTCTTTGACTTTTTATTTCACCAAACCCAGCTCTGTGAAAATTATGTATTCAATTACAGTCATTATGTTTCCTGAAGGATGTTTCCCTAACTTTATTAAGGTGTTGCTCTGAGATAGGAGTAAACAAGCCACATTTTGCGATAAAATATCTATGTTTGACTTATCTCTAATAATTACCTTAACTCCGTAAGGACATACAGCCTTCTCAACAAATTGAGTTATTCGGCAAAGATTCCATATACATTAAAGGAAAGAATCGTCAACGAGAAATGAATTCGAAGTTCGAAGTAGCTATTAATTAGGCAACGATTCATTTGCTCTGTTTAGAAACAAAATTCGTCTATTTTCTACGCTTTTGGTGCTTTGCGTATTGTTTAGGAAACTTTTGAACATAAATATATACTGTGTATAACGACAATGTATGATTAAAATATTTCCAGAGTTTTCTTTTAAGTCCATCAGTAATAAAACAACAACGCTAAAAAATGTGTTAATGTCTGTGTCTGTTTACAATTTTCGTTCTTTGACAGGTTGCATAAAATTGCATAAAACTGTAATAGTTTCCTTGTCCTCAAAACAGACAGTCAACAACAACGGACTTTAACAACTTTTTCTTGTAATTACTAAGATACTCGACAGAGATTGGCGAAAACAGTTCGTTAACACTTATCAATGTCTGAATTCATTATAACGCTTTTAATAACCGAGTGTGAGGTCTTTACGTAGAAATATCGGACTGAAGTTATTTGTACTGACCGAGACCCATAGGGCAAGGTTTGTGCTAAAAACAGAGTCCAAGATTTCTCAATAAAGACCGAGCAGGCGAGGTTAATAAAAAATCAATTAGCTATATGGTATTATTTGATCTGAAATGAAATTTTCTTTCCTTTTTTTATCCATTCTGTTTAGCAAAGACTGGCTTTCACTCCTCTAGTTTTTGCAAGGAGAAAATATATAGTTTGAAATTGTGTCGCCTAGATAATAAAACCCACTTTTCGAGTGTTCTTTTTTGACTTACATTCATACCATGGTTTTGTTTTGTTCTTATTTTCGTTTTATAAAATATTTGCTGTTTGCTTCATGAAGTTTTGTTAAACACAAGACAATTGACACTATATAATAAACATTATTTAATCTAGATAAATAATGTTTACTATATAAAGTGTCTATTGTCTTGTATTTTACCAAAATACTCTTTGGCAGTCATAATTCATAAAGTTTGTTTATCTA